CTGGCTGACATTCAAGACCTTTCCTCTCCCCCTTGTAGCTGTTCCTACCAAATCCGAAAGCAATTTCTGCAGCATTAATCATGCCCCCAGTTGCCGCCCCCTTGCAGCATTTGACTGACTCCGCTTATCGTGTCCGTCCGGCCTTTTCGGGTTAATGTTGACAAAACGCATTTTAAGCACTTCAGCATTAAGTCAGCTTTTATTTTTCTTTTGTTTAGAGCCGACATCCAACCACACACACCCCACACACACACACACATGTGTGTGTCTGTTTGAAAATTCTGATTTGAAATTTGCATTGGAAATGTGTGAGCTGACTATCCTATCGCATCCTGGCCAAACAGGCTGGAAACCTTTTCCCAGCCGGAGCGCAAGTGGCCAGCACCAGGCTTTTGTCCACTGGTCACTTCACAATCATTGTGTCTGTTTGCTTCTCCCATCTGCCAGCTCCCACTACCCAACATCCTGGGAATCCTGCGTATCCTGTGTATCCTGGCATCCCCCGCAGGCAAATAGCTTCTGTTTTTGCCTGCGTGTGTGCCTAACCTTTTGAAAAGGTTTCTATTTTATGGCCCAGAACGAGGGCATATAATCGAAATCCTGGGGGGATTGAGGATTGGTTGAGGAAAGGATGTGGCTCTAACTAGATTTACAAAATTAAAGGTCTTCGAAAGGGGGGGTGCTCACAGCATAAAATCTATTGTTTACAGGCATTTCCAATTAAAATTGATCTAATTTGTTGAGACAACAGCCCAGGGTTCAGTATAATAGTTAAGAAAAAGGTTAATTTATTAGTTTTCTACTGGGATTATTTCAAATTAAATCAAATGCTACGTATATCTTTTTAATTCAACAACTTTCCACAGCAAAAACTATTTCTAAAATTTTAGAGTGCTTCCAAAATTGAAATTCCCCCAGCTTTCCAATCGAATTACGCGCCCAAATTCAGCCACTAATTACCACGAATTATTTCGAGTAATTTACTAATTTGTACTCTCTGCCAACGAAGAGATAGCTTTAGTTGGCAGCCATTCAGTTTCGGCCAGGCCAATTAATATTCATTTGAGCCAAACTCACCAGCTCAACACTTTCCAGCTGGATAGAGGAAATCCTTTATTTAGCTAGCAACTTTCCGCGCTTGTTTTTCCTATTTCGTTTCGTGCTTTTTTCCAAGTTTAGTTTTTGGGGGGTATTTTTATGTGTTATTCCCCAGTTTGTCGCTGTTGACGTTGTTTCTCCAGCTGCAAATGCACGACAAATTAACACAGAAAGAGACAGGGGCGGGGACCAGCAAAAAAAATAAGAGAGAGACGGTTCGAACAAAAGGAGTCAACGAAAACTGAAATGCTGTTTTTCCGTGTCCTTCTCCCCCCTCCCTCTAAAAAAAAAATGGGGAAAAGCCACGCCCGCGGCTTGGCCGCAAAATAATATTGAAAAAGTGTGGGAAAGGCGGAAAACTAAAACTCTGTCACTTGGCTGCTGTGTGAGATTTGTTTTAAAACAGAGAGAGAAAAACAACAACTGTGGTCGCCAGAGTTTATTTAAGCTAAAAAGCGCTTGAATTACACTGTTACAAATACGCTATGTTTAATATTTTATAAATATCAAACTTTTCAAAGTGATAAATATCGATGGAATCATTTCCGACCCCATTAATCATATATATTCTTAATCAGCATCAACAGCCGAGTCGTTTTAACAATGTTCGGTGGAAAATAATTTTTGAAACATTTTTTCAAAATTTTATAAGGAGTTACAGCGCTAAAATTCTCGAAAATTCTAAAAAATTAAGGTTTTTTAAATATTTTAAGAAAAACTAGCATAGAAAAGCTTTCCAAATTAAAATGAATAAACTTAAATAAAATTTTAAAATAAGTATACGTCTCATTTTTCTTAAAGGTATGAAATATGTTTGAAAACATGTGTAAATTTTCTCCCTTTATAAGATTTAATAATTTTCTTAAAAACAAAAAAAAAAAATATCATTTTCGAATGTATTTCAAAAGTGAGAAAAACCTTTAACCTTTTACTTATTTAGGCCTATAATAAATACATTATTTTTATAATATCTTTATAAAACAACAATTATTTTTATATTTATTTTGTGTATGTATTTTGATCTTATTTATTTTTGTTTTATGCGATATATTTATTTTTGTTTTTTGTGCATCCCTTACCTTTTTCTATTATGTGAGGCTGAACACACAGCGGGCCATGTTTTTATTGGATTTTCCTCTTATTTTCCTTTTTGCTATTGTCGTGGGATTTTCGCACCGCACAAAAACACTGAACTAACACTTGTGTTAAATATGTATTTTATCGCTTTTTTGCCAGCTTCTCTTTTTGCGTTTTCTGAGCAGCCAAAGTGTTGTTTTTTTTATTATTTATTTTGTATTTTATGGGCCTATGTGTTTCAACCCCCGTCTTCACTTCACTTCGAAACACTGGACTACACGGCACTGCACTGCACTATGCTACACTACACTACACTGTGCTACAAGCCTGAGTCGCTGAGGGCTGATATTCAAGCTGCCGTGTACCGTTAGCCGCTACCGCACTCGCGCGAGTCTTTCGTTAAACTGGCGAAAAAAAACACACCACACACACACACCACGCACACACGCAGAAAATTCACAACGCGCATTTCACAATTGAACTTTGCTAGTTTTTCAAGCAAGGTGAGCCGAGCTTTTCAGCCCACTCTCTTAGTTTGCTCTCTATCTCTCTCTCTAGAGAGACAGAGATTCCCCCTCTTTGCCTTTCCACTCAGTTACCACTTTTGGCAAAACAGCCGGCGCAACGCAACGCCAACGCAACAGCGCCGCAGGCCGAGAGCTTCCATCCCAAAAATGGCAAAGAAAAAAAAAAAAACAATGAGTCGGCGGCCATGGCCAACCCCCTTGGGCGTTCGTCTCTCGGGCTCTCTCTTTGGCCGCCCCTGCGCATGCCCGTAAGCTGAGCTTCAAAGCTCTGAATGCTACGGGGGTGGATCAACGGGGGTTGGGTGGTGGTTTAATGGTGAACTCAAGTACAGTGGGCACTCGGAGATGTCGTTGAAGTAAGGAATTTTTAAGATGAAGAAATAAATGGTTTGAGCTAAGGTTAAAGGATCAATATCTATAAATTAAATGAACATAAGCTGTCAGATTTTATAAATTTGTAATCCTTATAAATAACACTTCCAAATATCTCTCAAAAAGAAAGCCATTGTTAGTTGTCTATCAAGCTCTTGGCAACATTTGGGATTCCCTCAATATTATGAAAAACTTCGTATACTTTCTGGTTTAAAAAAGGTAATTTATTTGAAATACTCCTAACGTCATGTTTCTCTACCCTAAATTCTGGAAGTTTAGATTCTTGAATATAAAATTTTGGATTAATTTAAAAATCGATTTGAAATCATTGTAGATTATAAGCTTTGTGTTTTAAGTCCCCTATAACCTTGGTGATTTAATTTCATTGGAGATTTTACATTTATTAATAATATACTTTATATAAATAAATTCACTAAAAAATGACTAATTTAAATATTTCAAAAAGCCTAATATCATTTACACAGTACTAAAAATAGATAATAAGAACATTCTTATACAGGATAAAAAGAGCTTATATATTAATCTCATAATTCTTTATGAAATTATGAAATTTATTTTTAAATTCTTCATAGTTTTTAAATATCTTCTCCCTCGACCCTTCACTGTGGGGTAATATGGTTTTATGAGAGCAGGGTGGGCCTTGCCTCGCTGCTGAATGCTGGCATCGAGTGGGTTGTTTTCATGTGATGTCGCATTGCTTCTGTTCTGCCCCTGTTGTTGTTGTTGTTGTTGTTTGTTGTTGCTCTAGTTGTTGTTGTTGCTCTAGTTGTTGTTGCTGTTGAATGTGCACTTTGTTGAATGTGCAATGTGCGCTTCCTCTAGCCGCTGTTATTGTTGCCACGACTGCCACTGCAAATTGCCTTGCAGCATTTAAGTCGAATTATGAAAGTCTGTGTATGTATGGACAGGGGGAAGTGCAGCATTTTACCCTCGCCCCCCAAAAAAAAAAAAAAAAAAAAAAAAATCCCACAATTTACCCTCAATTCCGACCCTTCCCGATTTTCCCTAACAACTTGGGGAAAAGGCGCTCGAGGGACCAGGAATACGGTTGCATTTTAATTAATATTGATTGTGAGTTATTTCCAGTGGGGGGGGGGGGCTAGCAGCAGGAGCAGCAGCAGGTGTGGTTTTAATTTAGTTTTCAAAATGTATTTGCGAGGGCGAGACAGAGAGAGAGAGAGAGCAAACAAACACATTTGCGGGGAAGCCCCATAACCCACTTACACCGACCCATGTGCGGATAAATGTTTGCCTATTACAGGGTACACAAAGTCAGCATCCTCGCGATGAGAGACGAGACGCGATGCGATGCAATGCGATGCGATATCATGCAAATTGAAGGGGGGTTTTGCCAAATTTGCATTTCAATTCAACAGTCGCCGGCGCACTCATCCCTTTTACACACCTCCACCGCCCACCGCCCACTCCGGCTGCTTTTCTGTTTACCTTGCTCGAACAGCTACGCTTTATTTTTTCAGCTCTGCTTTAAGTGTGATTCAGTGTTGCGCTCGACAGCGCGGCAAAATGTGCACGTGCTGCAACGGCCGCAAGGCATATTCTCCCATTTTCTCTCCTGCGGCGAAAGCGTCTGTCCAGGTGGTGGTGGAAGGTCCTGATCTCTCCCCTCCCCCTCCCCCATTGGGTTGAGTCCAAAAGGAATTGGTTTCGGGGACTTGAACTGAAGTGTAATATTATTCAGGCCCTTTTTCGGACTTTCATTGTCATATGGTTGAACTGACACAAAGCCAGGATTACACTTATAAAGCAGCTTTTTTGGTTTAAGGACTACCTATATCATATAAAAAATCCAACAAGGACCAAAATCTTCATACATAAAGTTATATTTTTCCATCTATTAAATAGTTTATTAATAATAGTTTCAAATTTATATGCATATCAAAGACAATATGTCTCTTTACTTTCACTTGATCTATAAATAATTTTATGAATTATATAAGATAAATATTAAAAAAAAATTAATTTTAAGTTGATTAGCTTTATGTATAAAACAGTAGTATTTGAAGTCTAGTCCTCGTATACTTTATTTTGAGCTGGAATCTCAACCTCATCTGAAAATTGGTCCTCGTCAGAGCTATCCTCATCGTCCTGGTTTTCCACTTGTTGCTCTACGGATACCACTTCCTTTAGATATCCTTTGGTATTGTTCTCTTGGATCTTTTGTTCTTCATCGAACTTGGCAAACATTTCGTGATTGGGTTTCATGAAGGGATAGTGGTTGAAGTGCAGCGGATCGACGGTGGCCATTGCCTTCTGGACACTAATGTAGACGGTGCGGCCACACATGCGATGGGTTAAAGAGATGTATGGAAAACTCAGGCTCAGAACGAATTGATGCTTGAGTTCCGAGGACTTGCAGATGGCCCAAAAGAAGATTTGTGTTTTCTCCAACAAAGCTTCATACTCCTGGGCCTCTTCGGGGAGCAGCACTTGTAGCTCCAAGGTGGTCTGGGTCTGATAGTAACTGGTCGTTGGTCGAACCACATTCGGCGGAAGTTGTGACTGAATCTTCTGGCTACGATTCTCATGTGGTGGTTCTGGTGCAGCCTGGATTGCCATTAACTTTTTCTGTTTCTTTGGTCTGCCAGCAGTTTTTGCTGCTCCTCCAGTCATCATATTATTAAGAAAGTCGGCGATTGAGCTTGACGATGGATCGGGATTCTTCGCCTTCGAATGCTGCTGCTGCTCCCGCAGCTCTTCTAGATCCAGCAGGGTACATCTCATAAGACATTCATACAGCTGGGCCATGGTGTCTGAACTGGAGGATGTCTCAGGTTGCTCTTGGGTTTTGAGCGGAGACACAACTTTATCCAGAAGCAGGTCCTTCTTAAGCTGGTTCTCCTTGGGCAACTCAAGGGCTTGGCTTAAGAATTTTCCACTGAAAAGTGCTGAAGCGTGCTTTTTGGGGGACTCATTCTTCTCCGACTCCTGCTGCTGCTCTTCTAGATCCAGTTGGAATTTGCTTTCCGGATTGAAGGATGCCTGTGTCATGTCCTCCTCCTGCTTCTTCTTAAGCTGATTCTTCTTGGCCATCTCGAGGGCGTTGCTAAAGAATTTTCCGCTGAAAAAAACTGAAGTAGGCTTATTGGGTGACTCATTTCTCTTTGACGCCTGCTGCTGCTGCTCTTCTAGATCCCTCTGGAACTTTCTGTCTGGATTGGAGGATATCTGAAATGGTTCTAATGTCATGGGGGAAGATAAGGCTATAGTCTCCTTCTGGTTCTTCTTAAACTGGTTTTTCCTGGCCAACTCTAGGGCTTGGCTTAAAAAGTTTCCGCCAAAAAGTGCTGAAGTGGGCTTTTTGGGCAACTCGGTCTTCTCCGACTTTTGCTGCTGCTCTTCTAGATCCAGCCGGGCTTTGCTTTCGCGATTGGAGGATGCCTTAGATGGTTCTTGTGTAATGGAAGAAGACAAGGCTTTGTCCTCCTCCTGCTTTTTATTAAGCTGGTTTTTCCTGGCCAAGTTGAGGGCTTGGCTTAAGAATTTTCCACTGAAGAGTTCTGAAATAGGCTTATTGGGCGACACATTCTCCTTTTGGTCCTCCTTCTGTTCCATCTGTAGTGCGTCTTCTATCTGAGTTTTCACTTCCTGCATTTCCGCTTTTATTTTTTCCTGGGCATATTCCACTTCCTCTCCAGCCGTGAAGAAGGCCAGTATGTTTTTCTCTGTCTCCTCACATTTTTTGGCCAGTTTTTCAGTAATCAGTATATGGGAAACACTCAGGTTTCGCACGTGCATCTTCACCGTGGACGCATATGTCATGGCCACCAGATTCCGAACGAACAAGGTATTTGCATTGGCGATCTGAATGTGGGCCTGCAGAAAATGCTCCTCGGGCAAGTCCTTAAGCCTGTACTCCAGAGCGCGGCGATCTTTCTCCGTCCAGTCGCCTTCTTGGGAGAAGGGCTCCAAGCCTAGTAGACGAAGATCGATTGCCATGGGCGGCAACTGCTGCACCTCGGCCGAACACTTGAAGAGCTTGCTGCTTTTGGTGGAAAAGATGCGAGTGTCAATGTCGATGGCTTGCACCAGCACTGGCAGATCGAGCCGCACCAGTTTCGTGCCGTTAATGGGGGGCACCTGGAGCACCCGGACTCTCTCGTCGATGGCACTGTGGTACATACAGATGTCCCCAGGAACCGGAGGCCAATAGCGAACCTGTTTTACGTCCTGGAGCATCTGGATGCGCATATGCTGAGCCGCCGGGCTGGGCAGCCTTTGCCAGGAGCCCTGCGGCGGTAGATGCTCCTCAAGATAAACACAAAAGTGCGTCGGCGAGTAGACTCTCACCAATTGCACTTTCACGTCTCCCGAAGTGGGAACAGAAGCATGACATTTGTCCATATCGGTCACATGGTGACGTTCTTCGCAGGCAGGATTCTTGCAGCTGCCCTTCACCATGATCTGGCGACATATAATGTTCTGGTTCATTCGCTCCTCTTCATTCTCCTGCCGGATCTTCTTGACCAGCTCCACAATGTCGTCATCCACCTTTTGGTGCTTCTGCAGGAAGTCCACGAGACGTGGCAGTTGTCTCTGATTCTGTTGGTCCAGCAGCACCAGCGAATGCAGTGATACAGCCTTAGACTTGCCGTCTGGCGGGGCCAGGTTGTTTTTTAGATTCCCGGAAATGGCAAGATGCCGCATCTTAAACTTGCTCCACGTACTGCTCATGCCGTAGTGGATCAGTGTATCCGCATGCCGAATCGTCAGCTCCGGGCAATCATCCGTGCATAGCAAAATGACCCCTTGGCTCTTAGCCATCCAACGATGCACCTGCTCGGCGACTTCCAGATTGGCACTCTGGAAGTAGGGCAGACAGGCGTGGCAGCGTTTCTCCAGAGCCACCGCCAGGTGAAGCATGTCTATGTCATCGCTGCAGTAAACCACCGTGCGATAGTCCTTGGGCGGACGCTGCTGTACTGTCTGGAGCACCTCCTTGACCTTTCTCTCCGAATTACAGAAGGCGATTCTAATGCACGTTCCGCCATATACAGCTGCCTCCAGGATGTCGCCGAATATAAGCGCCGGGTTACTGTTCGCCGCTTTTAGTTTGGCCATCAGCTTGGGATCGTATGTCTGTGAGACCATCACGAACTGTGGATAAAGGTTCTTGGGCAGTACCTGTCGTAGAACCTGCTCCGTCTTCTGCAACTGCTCGGACGACATCAGATCTACGTCGTCGAAAACCAGGAATTGAAGGCGTGGAAAACGCAGCACACCCGGCGCCTCCTCATGTAATACCACAAGCTGAGCAGGTGTGAAAACCATGCATCCGACGCCGTTGAGCAGACGATGGATAATCTCCACCTTCTTCGAAGAGTCATAAGTCAGGGTGAGTGTGAACAACTTCTCGTTAGCCGCCTTTCGAAGCAGAGCGTGGCAAAGGGCACTCACTTGACTCACACGCTCCGCATCCGGCACCAAGATCACGGCCAGCGGACCCTCCTGGTCGGGATACCACTTGTCAATGCCGCGCAGGCGCCTGCCCGCCGTTAGGGCGCGACACACCTGGTCGCAGAGCGGCGGAATGTAGCCAAAGGTGCGACCGCTTCGCGGAGCACTAATAATCATCGCTCCGTGTCCATTCCCGGCATTCAAGTGGGGCCACGAGTAGCTCTGGAGGCGCTGCAGGCGATTCAGGCCCAGTGTTTGCATCATGTGCAAGATGTGCGGCAGCAGGCAGACCTCGGAGAAGGAACGAACTTGACGCAGGTTAAACTTCGCATGCGCCACCACGTACTCCGAACAGTTGGGGGCCACGAGCGGGCGGATGGCAGCGCCTGCGTAGAATGGGTCGCCTACTTCGTAGTCATTGTGCTTGACGATATTATCAATGACTTGGGCAAAAGAAAACAATTTTTTATTTTCCATTTTAACCGGTTGGTCGTTTCTGAAAAGTTAATATCCTCGTAGACGCTCAGGTTCCCTCTTGAAAATGGCCGTAGCACACGACGATTGGCGAAGAGCTTCCGGTTTGAAAAGTTTATCGAGACTATCGTTAGAGCTGTCCCCATTTTTGCAAACAAGTAGAAGCACACTGTACAATTTTTATGACAATTTTACTGTGTATTAAAGTATTGATGATCTTAATGTAAATATATCACGCTATGTATTATTTGTTTCTGATTAAAATAAAATCCGAACATAAATTAGTATAAAAATAGATTAATTTTATAGCAAACAGCTTTATGTAAGAAAACTTCCGCGTACTGTAGCAACCAGGTTAGTAGGGAAATAGATAGACTTAAAATTCATGGCAATCAAAACCGTATTTACTACCAAATGCATTTTAATAAAAAACAAAATAGAAGAAAAAAAGAAAACACCAAATTATTTAAAAAATCAATTTACCCTTGTGAAATTATAAAATATAACAACTCGATACTATCGGAGCCCACTGTTATCGCTGTCACCAATCGATAGCCAACTATCGCACTCATCTGCCACCCCTAACGGCACGCACTACAATTTTTCGTACTTGTTTGGTTAAATTTTTTTTAAGACAAGGCAAATTAATAAGGATCAATTTAAAATGGGCAAACGGCGGACACAATCCCTGCTTGACTCGAACTCCAGCGACAGCGACTCGGAGTCGGATACCAATCTGGAATCGGTAAGTGGCATGAAAACCTGGCCCGCGCCCCTTTGTCACTGCAGCAGCCATTTGCGATGTAACGAAAATCAATGGCCCCAGCTATATATTTGTTGTGTGTGTGATAATTCCATTTCAATTTTCCTTTTTATTATCCCCAGGACCTGATGTCGCTGGCGAAGAAGCGGAAGAAGCCACAGACCACGACCAAGGCGAGCTCACGCTCCGACTCTGACTCCGATTGGGCCAACAACAAGGCTGGAGCTCCGGCCTCGAAGAAGAAGAAGCGTCAGAAGAAGGCCAGTCGGGACTCTAGCTCTTCGGAGTCCAACTGGGACGATGACAGCCAGGATGAGGAACAGCAGCGCCCCCAGGCGCAAAACCAGCAGCAGAATCCACCTACTCAGGCCGAGGAGAAGGCCCCGAGCAGCAAACGCAGGCGGCACCACTTAGCGAACAGGAGGAGGGAGAGGTATCCTCCAGCGATTCCGACAAATCCAAGTCAAATTCCTCCTCCTCTGGCTCCGATTCGTCCAGCTCCTCGTCCTCCAGCTCAGATTCTGAGTTCGACGATGGCTTCGATGATGACCTCATGGGCGACGAGGAGGACCGAAGGCGCCTCAACGGTCTGTCGGAGAAGGAACGTGAAACAGAGATCTACAAGCGCATTGAACAACGTGAAATCATGCGCACTCGCTGGGAAATCGAACGCAAGCTAAAGCTAGCCAGGCGGGGCGAGAAAAACCAAGAAAAGTCCAAGACAAAGGGCGAACGGGCCAAGAAGAAGAAGGAGAAACGCGAGAAGAAAGCAAAGAAGGCCAAGGAAGCGCAACCGCCCTCAATGCCTCAGCCCTCCACATCTACGCTGTCTGAGGCAGAGCCCAAGTCGAGCGTCGAGGTAAGATCAGCAAGTCCGATCTCCTCGCCAATCCACAACAGAGAGATGGCTTCCACCTCAGCGGCGGTGGCTAGCATTCTGCCAGAGGATCAGGCAGCTGCCGCCGGGGTGGCCGATTACTTTGATCACAAGGAACGGTCTAAGGAACGAAAGAAAAACGTTGAGGCCAACAAGACGGATGATAAGAGAAGCAATGCCATGGCCTTGCTGAAGGCCAAGCGCGAGGGCAAAGCCAAAAGAGGTAAGTTGTGATTTAGGTATAAGAAAAGTTATAGAATTAACGTTCTTACCATCTTGCAGAGGAAGAAGAAGCCAAGCGTATGGCCGAACGAGATCGGGATGAAGAAAAGGAGGAGCTGGAAAGCGTTTCCGGTTGCAAATCAGCCGTTAAGCTGAAAGCGTCAGAGATTTACTCCGACGACTCGGGCAGCAGTGATTGGGATGAGGAAGAGAAGCCCTCGGGCAAACGGTCAAGATCCAACAGTAGCAAAGCTTCAAGCGAATCGGAGGATGACGAAAAGGCCCCCAAGAGTCCCGTGTTTATAACTACCCGCGAGGATCTGAACAAGCTGCGTCTTTCACGCTATAAAATGGAGCGTTTTGTAAACTTGCCCATCTTCGAGAGCACCGTGCTCAACTGCTTTGTGCGAATCAGCATTGGGAACAATGGCCAGAAGCCTGTGTACCGCGTGGCCGAAATTGTGGGCGTCGTGGAGACGGGTAAGATCTACAGTCTGGGGACCACACGTACCAATCGTGGACTGCGACTCAAGCATGGAACACAAGAGCGTGTGTTCCGGTTGGAGTTCATTTCGAACCAAGAGTTCACCGAGAACGAGTTTAACAAGTGGCACGAGGTGTGCCAGCAGTCGCATGTCCAAATGCCCACCATCGACCTCATCGCCATTAAGCAGGCCGACATCAAGAAGGCGCTGAACTATGAGTTCAAAGACGAGGACGTTGACAAAATCGTGGAGGAAAAGAATCGTTTCCGCAATCGGCCTACGAATTACGCAATGAAGAAAACATGCCTGATGAAGGAACGCGATGCGGCCATGTTGAGGGGTGACTACGATATTGCCCAAGATCTGGGCACGCAGATCGATGAGCTGGAGAGCCGAGCCTCCGAGCTGGACAAGCGAAGATCACATACACTGAACCTTATCTCCTACATCAACGATCGCAACCGAAAGAAGAATGTGCAGGATGCCGAGAAAGCGATTATGGAGGAAGCGCGTGCCAACAAGGGGCAGAAGATTTCAGACCCCTTCACACGTCGTATCACTCAGCCTCGAATGGGCTTCAAGGGTACTAAAAAGGAAGACGAGGACATGCTACAGGCGCCATTGCCACCGCCGCCGCCGGGCAAAAAGAGGCCCAGCGAGGCAGGTACGTCGAGTGCCAGACCGACGGACTCCAAGGATTACAGTCTCTACTCTCTGCACGACTTTGACATCGACTTGGATGTGCCTCTGCCGGGTAAGTCTTTGCTAGCCTCTATTAATAAAATTAAAAACAATAATAATTTTGCTTTTTTGATCTGCAGTAAGTACGAATTCAGTGCCAAAGCCGGCCAATAAACCAGCCGAGACCGTTTCGAAGAGATCCCTGAACCTAGAGGACTACAAAAAGAAACGTGGCCTCATCTAGGAACTGATATCGCTGCACTGCACATATTGACAACGCCTCACACGTTTACGTCCGAGTTAAGTGTAGTGCCTCTATAATTGACCACAGCGAACATTTGTTAATGCTACAAACATTATCCCAGAACCAAGCGATGGGCGGCAGATCCACTTTTTGTTTTAGTTGCAGTTAAAATTAATGCGTATCCCGAAAGAGGATACTTTTCCTGTTTGTGTGTGTACGGTAAGAATCACTTAACCTAGCGAAAATTCACGAAGGTCAGCAGACAGATAAAAACGAAAAGCAGTTAGAATGCAAATAGGGCACTCATTATAAATATAATAAAATTAGGTTGATAATGTTCTAATGTAATTTTAATAGCGTTTAAGTTAAACAAAATTGTATTACAGCCCAGCCCAATATAATATATATTCAACACAATGTTTAATAAATTAAAAATTATTTATACAGGACTAGCTAACACAGCGAAAACTCAATTGTTTACTCAGGCAGGAGATTCCAAGGACAATTATAACATAAAACAGGCTGATTAATCGGGATGCAAGATATGTATCCGTTGGTTGTAACCGTTCAATGCTGTATTAGCTTTAGGCAAGGTTCATGTAGCAACAGCATTCACATACTTAAATATACACACACATTACATATAAATAATGATTATTTATAATAAAGAAAGCAAAACAACCATTGTCGGTGGAGTTAAATATATAGAATTAATCAATTCAAAAATGAATATGTTGTATTATTTAAAGGGATAGGGGTTTCTTTATGATCTCCCTTAAAAATATACATTTTATTTGCTCGTTTGGCGCCTTTTCCATCTTAAATTGAAATGTAAACTCTTGGGTTAGGTTAAGTCTGCGCCAGTTGGTCATTTTTAATTGGTTTGCTGGCTGTTTGTGCAGCTGGCTGACTGACTGACTCCTTTCCTTTCATGTTCACACAAAATTAATTCAATTAATTCGATGAAATTGTCTTTTAATTGAAAACGATCGCGTTTCGCGTTGTTTCGTCAGTGACCCAGCACACATTTTCGAAATATGTGCAGATATAGAAACATTTAACGGTCAAGATCTATATCTAGAATCTCTGGTGGGAAAGAAGCTGCCAAGTAATTTGTTAATATTTAAGTTATGAAGCCATCTTTTCTGGACAACAATGAGAATATATAGAAGGTTCATTTGATATAAACTTGAATTGATTGTTCTATAATGCATTTCCGCTTGGAATATATTCAAAGTTTTGTTTCCTTACTTTTTGGGAACCGAATCTCCGGAGCCCCGAACCTACATATTGTTCCCAACGACGACTGATCCGATCACAATGATGACTGCGCGGATGGGGGACACTCACACACAGTTCCCATTGATGGCACAATGACATTTTATCTCGAAATATGCAACAGCAGCACGTTCTCTGAAGCGGAGAGTGTAATAGATCAGCGGCGGAATCTCGATTCTGAATCCGAAAACTACCGATGCGTGGCCCATGCAAATGTTCTTGCAGTTGACATCGGTGTGGGTGCATTGCATCCGACAAATATATATGTATCTCATTTGTGCACTGAAAAGTTAAAGAATATTAACAGTTAATGATAATATTTTGAATTTTATGTATTGAAAATATTTTGTAAGCTCTAGGATACCTATTTATCTTTCAAAATTGTATTTGATATTTAAGACACCATAAGAAACTCCAGGACGCTTAGTTTAAGAAGTGGCAACAAACTATTAAACAATACATATAAATAAACAGAATCTAGTACATTTTGGTTTAGTTTCTTAAACAGAAAATATAAATTTAAATATTACGAATAGGTAAATACGTAAAACCAGTAAATAAACATTGAAATTTAAACTTTCAAATGCTTTTAAAAACTTTAAAGTTATGCCATATCGAAACTGATGCTTTTACTTTGAATTTAAACAAACAATATTTCTCGCTCAACTAATCATTAAATTATGAATTTTATTTATTAATAAATAATTTAATTTATTTAATTTTCTTATTAGCTGTTTATGGAGATTTTTTTCTAGTGTGGGAGAATCCCCTTGGCGGCGACTAATCAACCGGCTGGGAATTATACACAAGTGCTGGACTGCTCTCGTCCGACGACGGCATCGGGCTTCTTCATCGTCACCCTCGGACTTGGGCATCTTTCATTGGGAGCTCCACTGTACGGGTGTGCATGGGTATGGGTATTATTTTCTTTGAATGGTACATACATGTGTGGCTTAGGGGACAGCAGCTCAAGCGATCAGTTCAAAGTTGACTTCGCTGCGGACCAGATCGGACCGCTCTAATTCGGACACGCGACGACCGTGAATTATATAGGATAGAATTCTCCAACAAAATCACAGTTTAATTTAATTTAAAAAAAAATCGTAATAATAATACTAATCAACAATGTGCTCTGTGTTGTGGTGTTTATTTGTGAGCCTGATCCTTGGCTGCGTTCAGGCCGCCTTGGATTTTAACAATGATCTCGATAATAGCCAAAAGTTCAAGAGCATACCGACCACAGTGAAAACCTATGAAAATGACACGGTCCAGCTGCCATGCACCTTAAATAGTAAGTTATTTTTAACAATTATAAATAAAAATAATACAAGAGTACATTGCATTTTGTGAGGATATGTGGACGGGGGCCTTGAAACGGCCACCAGCAGCAGCAATTGGCCATAACAATGAGATTTAATTCGATTTAAGAAATGAACACACAATGGGACAAATGAAGGTATTATCCAACAATAATAGAGCAGTGAGTCCAGAAACGGATTCTATTAATTGAATGCTTAACACACTTAGCAGCACATTGAAGTCATTTTCGAAAGAACCCTCCCCCAAAGGCATATATGTAGTTAAGTGACCATTAAAGGATTGTTGACAATTTTGAAGGGGTTAATAAGATTACAGAACCAATTACAAGAACTACTCATAAGGGTTTTATATTGTGGGAATTGTTAATAATAAATGTCACCCTAAATTTATTTGATTTTCGAACTGCAGCACCAAAAAATAATACACAATATGAGGTCATACATCAATACATCCCACACCTTGTCTGATCTATTAAAATTATCTAATTTAACGTTACAATTTTACTAAAATTTAAAATAGGTTGTCCAGATAGAATATCCATTACAGTGGCTTGGTACCTTTCTTTTCAGTAACATTAACAAATGCGGAAGAAAGGATTTTTATATCCCTTTCGCAATCTCGGCAAACTGGACCCTTCCTTCGCTGAGCACTGACTTTGGCGGCCTGTGGAGAAAGACATATTAATTGTTTTTATATATATAATTATTACATTTATATTTGATTAATGTCAGCTTACCATGCGCCTATAGTGATCCTTTTTAGACTCGCAGAGACGATTCCAGGATCGGGCTGCTCTTATGATCAATTCCCTAGGCTTTAGGCCACAATGCGTTTTTCGAAAGTCGCGCAAAAAGTTCAAATATCCATTATTCGTAATCGGACCGGGTCTGCTGCATTTTATAGGTGACTTTTTACACTTTCCACGATTCAGGCTTCTCTCACTTTGGGTCTGTTTAAGAAAAAAGCAAAGGAAAGAATTATATTCCAAATATAAAAAATACTATTTAAACATATGTAAGTTCATCCGAAAGGTTCTTTCTAAGGTTCTTCTTACCATATTACACAAATTTACAGACTTAAAAATTTGTTGTAGACGGAAACTATAACAAATATAGCAAAATATTTCCTGAAGATTTTAGGAAGTTAACTGTTTTCAAAAGAAACGAATTGATTAATAGGTCGAAGCTTACTGACAAACTTTATAAAGTCAAAAGATTACTTAGGAAGGAATAATTCTAGATTTATAATTATACACTTGAAAGGTATTAGGTTGCAACTTTACTTTCTTATATTTCATTCGCCTATATGTGTTTTATAAATATATATTTTACGTAATTTTAATTTAACTGTCTTACATTTTCCAACCAGCACCCTTTCGATACGTTCGCTGGCATCGGGACGATGTTGCTCTGGTGGACTCCAGACACCCGGAGATCCCAAAGCTGGATCGGATAATGCTTTGGCCCAATGGAAGCTTGCAGGTGTCAAATGTGCAATCCAGTGACACGGGTGACTATTACTGTGAGATGAACTCGGATTCTGGGCATGTGGTGCAGCAGCATGCCATTGAGGTGCAACTGGCTCCACGAGTATTAATAGAACCCTCAGAGCTGACGGAGCAACGGATTGGAGCCACCATGGAGGTGGTGTGCGAGGCCCAAGGAGTTCCCCAGCCGGTGATTACCTGGCGGTTGAATGGCAATGATCTGCATCCTCAGAGCAGCTCAGGCAACCGGCAGAGTCTGGTGCTGGAGATCAAGTCAAGGAATCAGGCGGGTTTGATCGAGTGCCTGGCCAACAATGGAGTGGGTGAGGTGGCGGTGGCCAGTGTATATCTACACGTGTTGTGTGAGTAACCCAAATATACCATAATTAAAAGTTTAAATCAAAGTACCCTTCCCACAGTTGCTCCCGAGGTGAGTCAACCCCAGCCGGTGGTGTACACCAAATTGGGTGCTCGTGCCCATCTCGAGTGCATCGTGGAAGCAGCTCCGGCGGCTACGGTCAAGTGGTTCCATCATGGACTGCCTGTGACCCTGGGAGCCCACTCCACGAGTCACGAGTCGGAACTGCAGGGAAATCGCTCGTTGGATCACTATGTGAATGCCGTGCGACATTTGTTGGTGGTGAAGAGTGTTCGAAATGCGGATATGGGTCAGTACGAGTGCCGGGCCACCAATCAAATTGCGGCAAAGAGTGTCAATGTCGAGCTGACCGGCCGCCCAATGCCCTGCCTCTTCAAGATCAATCCCGGCATCCAGAGCTCCACCTCGCATGTGCTCGTCTGGCAAACGGAGAGCCTGCTGCCCATCATGGAGTTTAAGCTCAAGTTCCGACAGATTCCCTCCAACAATGCCACCCGGCAGATACGGACCAACTGGACGGAGCTCACAATTCCAGCTCAGGCCACCAATGGTAAGAAAAGGGAACTTAGTTTATTTTAATTTCAATATTGAAAACTTAGGATAATACGTATAAGAATTATAATTTATGGTAATTAAAATATGTAACAACCAACTCGGCTATATGTCAGAATTTCTCAATTACAAATTCTGTTTGAATATCGGATAACAGACTTTCCCATAAATTCTTTGGTTTCTTCTTTTTTTTCAAGAACAAGTAAAGGCACCTGGTTTACTTTTATTCCCAATTCACTGTTTTCATTTAATTTCATGGAAACTAAATTGAGATTTCGTTTTTTTGAATAATCAGCTGAATTCCTTTGCCTTCTGCTTATTTCGAAAACCTTGACCTTATCTGAACCTCAGAGCAAAAGGTTCAAGTTTATTCGATTTTTTCACCTGAAATTTATGCTAAATTAAATAAATTCAGTATATGTTAGGGGTGAGTTTTAGTGAAATGAATATTTTCTTGGGTAAGTTAAAGGCTATATTTTCTAAGATACATTTTATTTTTAGTTTAGACTCTATTTAACACTGATAAAGACTAGTTTTCAATATAAATAAACCATTTACTTTGAACTTAGAGGAGGTATTGGGAAGGTTTCAGGGGGAATTAAATATGTAATTGATTTTAAAATTTGATTTTATTTTATATTATTATCTATCCTCTTCTTACAGGCCTAATCTATATTACCACATATACCCTACATGGCCTGCAGCCTGCCAGTCTCTATGAAGTTTCCGTTTTGGCCAGAAATAGTTTTGGTTGGAGTGACAATAGCAAGATTGTTCGATTTGCCACAGGCGGAGAGGGTAACTGAAATTCTTTTTCATATTTAATTTCTTAATTAAATAATTTCTTTTTTAGTTGAATTACCAAATTACTCAACGGAATCAGAGCTGCAGGAAGACCTTGCCGATGAGGATTTTCACAATGAAATTACCCAGAGATCGGAGATACTATCAGCCAGCATGATGTACAACTCGGGTTCCATAGGTGGCAATGGAATCTGTGCCTTAATATATTTCACATGTCTTGTAAAACTTGTATTACTCCTAAGTTAGGCTAACTATCCAATTTAAATGTACTGAAACCGATTCCAAACTATACCAAATAAACAACTTTCCATGTAATTGCCTGAAAAGATGCCTTAGGTCATAGGTGAATCATATCTGTTGATTCATTTCCGTATGAAGATAAGATAATGGGATTTTATAAAAAAAATAACTCTTGTTTACTTTTCTTCTTAATCAATTCTTAAAAATTTCCTTTCTTATCAATTCATGTATATGTTTTTGTGCATCACTTTTAATAAAATATCTTAATATATACCTTAGGTCATATGTGAATCAGATCAGAAATGGAAGCTTTCGATTCCAACGGAAACAGATAAAAGAGTGTATCATAGGTAAACATTCTTATGAAACTTATCTCTTATGAATAAAATGGAAAGATCTGGCATATTGACCAAGTATTTTACATCTTACATTATCTTACATATTTCGTGCATTTATTCTTTTAAGAAGTCTGCAAAAAGTTTACTAGTTAAGAGTTTAATAATATATATTTTAAAGAATGTTTTAGAAATATAAATTTAAGAACTGAGAACCAGAATATACCTTTCCGGATCTATTCAATGCGCTGAACTAGAATCCGGACTACCATATTTAAAGGATTTTAAAGATATTTTAACCTAAAAGTGGCAAAGTAATATCTAGCTCTTGGTTCTTGTGTTTTAAATAGTTTTTTTTTTTACTTCTGCTATTTGATAAAACCTAAATTCAGTTTATGTAAAAATCTCTTTGATATTTAAAGAAAATATAAATCAAAACGGTTCCTTTAAGACCACAATGTTACAAAACACATTTGCGGCAACTATAGTTTTTGAAATTTGATACACCTTTTACCCGACTCCGCAAACCTATAGGCCTTGAAAATTTCTAGCAGGGTATACTTTCGGTATAGGGCTTCCTCTGTGTGGACCGCCAACATCAATTGGCAGTGACATTGCGGGAAGCTAAGGCATCTTTTCTGGCCCCAAGCCCCACTCTCGCTCTCAGACACACACTCTCTCTCTCTCTCTCTCAGTCTCAGTGAGCCAAACTCCCGCTCTCCCGATAAGTGAAACAACTGAAATCGGAACGAAGCAAGCCATGTTGTGTTTACTAGCAGGCTCCAAAAGCCCCCCAAAGGTGAGAGAGCTAGAGAGAGAGAGCGGGAGAGAGTTGCCTGCTCTCTCTTTGGGGCTTGTTCCATTCCGCTTTGCTTTTGGCATCCATCGCAGCACGCGCTTCGCTTTCAATGTTCGTTCGTTCAGCATCGCGTTCGGTCGCACCGTCCCCCCAAAAGGAGCCCCAACGCTTACAGAGGTCTGTCTGCATCTCGGAGTCGGAATCCCGTGAAATGTCTGCCTGGTTTAAAGCAATTAAAGACAGCTGTAAACGCTTTTCGTTTCAACTTGGCTATATAATGTGTATTACAAATCGCTTGAAATGTTGAGTGCGAGCTAGCGAAAGCGTTGCAGTGCAAGTGCTAAGCGTAAATCTGTACAGAATCGGTGGAAAAAAATAAAAAACAAAAAGAAAACAAAACCCCAGCTACAGCAAAAACAACAACAATAAAAAGGCTTTTGTAACGCTTTAACCGACTTTTTGGTCTCATCTCGCGTCGGTATCTGGGGACCAGTAAAAAAAAGAAACCAGTTTCCCTCCTCTAGGCTCTCGGGCAAAATAAATACGAGGCAAAAAATACTCGTAACAATCTTCAGCGCATCGCATCCATTCTTTAAACTCTGGCCCTGAAGTTTCAGAGTGATTTTTCTTTCAGACGATGAATCACTAAAATGCCTCACAAGTATATAAAATCTATGCTGCACATCCAGATTCTGCAGGCAGATGTGCTCTATATCTTCACTTTTACTTTATTCGCAAGAAACCATTTTGGCAAGAATTCAAATTCAGTTTCAATTGCAATTCTTCATCGCTCTTCTTCGCTGCACATTCTATAAATATGTACGAATATGTAAATTAGTTGTCGTTGTGCCGGCAACAAAAATACACCAAACAACATGGGAAAAATAGCATAAGAAACTAACAAAAAAAATAAAGAAAAAGAAAAACAGGTAACCCAAACGAAAGGGAAAATGATGCAGGAAAGGAATGAGACACGGGGAGAAAAATAACTTAAGTTAAAGGTTACTTTATACGTTTAAAATGTAAAGGTTTGAAAAGGTATTTAGGTAAATTTAACTAAAAATAGGAATATACAGTTTTCTAAATAAATAATAATATTCTAAATATTTATATGTATATCTAAATAACTACTGTTCTTACTGTAAAGTAACTTAAGTAAAGAAAAAATTAAGTCAACCTAAGTTCATCAATATCATCAATAATATTATTCCCATAACAATTTCTTTATTGTATAGTCCATTTTAAAAATATTATCTTTAACTAGACTCAGTAATTTTTTTAATTTTAAATGACTATTTGAACTAATTAATGTACAAAATAAATGGTAAACCTTTCTCAATTGATATAAAGATATTTAAATGTAACTTAAAATCGATCAAACGTATATAATTTCACATAAATATGTTATAATATTTATTTTACTATGTTTTTATGTACTTTAAAATCGACCTTGATTCCCTTTTCCTATTTATTAATTTAAATTAATTTTCAATATTTAAATTTCCAAGTTCTTTAGATTAACTTTCAATATTTTAATTTCCCATGACCCCTTTAAAGTTCATTGCAATTTTTTTCCGTGTCTCGGGAGTAACCAATTGGGGGCAGCTGCTCCATAGGGGAAAAAAGGGAGGATGTGCAAACAAAAACGGTGAATGGAAAACAAATTTTCTGTACTTGTTTTTTTATTTACAGTAGGCGCAAAAAAAAAAACGAAAAAGAACCAAAGACGGAACATAACAGAAAAAGTTTTCAATTCAATTTGTGGCGGCAAAGTGCAAGCGTTGATCCCCAAAAAGCATTCCTCAGATATAAGACAGCTGCACTCGCTCCCCCCAGTGACTGTGTGTGCCTGTGTGTGTGTGCGTGTGTGTGCCTGTGTGTAAACTTGGAGCGCAATGTAAATAAACAAAAGCGCCAAAGACAACAACAATCGAGGCACTGATTCCAACAGAGAAAAAGAACCAAGTTTGCACCTTCTTCTACATATTTTTCTTTGATTTTCAAATAGATAAACATAGAGCCCGAGGAGTCGGAGTAGAATCTATCTTCTTTTATTTTTCAGTGATAGGCAAAAGGTGTCAACTGTCGTAACTTACGAGCTGCAGGCGTCATATATCTAAGGTGCCGTTTAGCTAGATGACACCTGAGTAATATAAAGACTCTGGGAAAAACTCTATTACACAAGTGCAAGTGGAAATTGCCGTTCATTAGGAAGCTTTTGTTCGAAGATGCTGAGTGGAGGCTACGAGGAAGTATCTTGAAGAATTCATAAACCAAATAATCCCAGAAACGTGCCTGATTTTCATACAAATATGCTGTTCCTATGTGTGGTTTTAAAGTGTTTATAAATATAAATTATAAATCAAAATATTAGGAAGTATTCAAGACATTTTCATCTTATTTTCTAATAATTAACTTTGCTTCAAGCTATACTTTTTCTTTGTTTTTTAACTATACATATATATTGAAACATAAAGTATAAACAAACAAGTCTTATATATCAAAGTTCAATCATTAACAAAAACAAATCCCATTTAACAACATTTCTTAAGTAATCATAGATCCTAAAGAGCATCTATAAATCAACTATTTGTTCTGCAAATTTTGCTGCCTGCAAATGCATCAGCTTATGGATTATGATCATCAAGCAATTGCAAAACTGTTTGTTTTATGAGTCGGTCATACAAACAAATACACATATAGATGTATATATTTATATGTTTGCGTACGGATGCAGATCGGCAAAGCTATGCCCGCCATTTGCAAACAGCTTTTAATATCAATACTGTACCAAATTTTTGTCGGCTGGTGTGCTGTAACATTATGTACGAATACATCGACTTTTCGTGCCGTACAATTTTTTCGCATTTGCACATTAATTTATTTATATGCATAAACATTTGCATGCTATTCGACTTGGCACACCCTGACCCAACAGAACCCCCCAAAGCCTCCCCACTTCGACCCACTTTACTGGCCGCCTGGCATTGAGTCAGCCTCGAGAAGAGAAAAAAAATTAACACACAGTCGAACTTCCTTAAATTTAACTTATTGAACTTTAAGGCTTAAAGAGAGTTAACTAGGGTTAATGATTTTAGTTTGTAATATAACATTTTGACTAAATCAATTGCAATTAAAATGCTTTCATTTAAATCTCAGAACAGAATTACAAATATTACAATTAATTTAAAATTTAGTAAATATAAATATTTATCTCTGGCCAGAATTAATTCTAGGGTTCTTAAATCCAAGGGATAGTTGTCAAATATGGAGCTATTAAATATTACATAGTAAACAAGAAAAAATATAACTTCGAGAAGCTGAAGTTTGTATACTCTTGCAGTTTGACCAGGAAATTGGAATTTTAAATCGATCTTAACTAAGTCAAAAATATATTTATTTTAATTCGGAAAGCTCTCCTTTGTTACTTTCAATTAGGTTTACAAATGTGCAATTAAAAAAAAATTTTATTTGTATAAATTTCTTACAAAATATTACGTATACGCACATTAAGTATACGTAATAAAATTGCGTTACAGTACTAGGAGATTGGTACAATTTATTTATTATTTTATTATTATCAATTCAATCAACTAATATTAATAAATATAATATAGAAATTTTAGCTTAATAGCTTTATGATTTCTTTTACCCGATATTTGTATATATTGCAATTTGCAAACTTGAGTAGCTAAGCCAAAAAGGCATTAATTTCGATTCAGAAAGCTTTCCTTTGTTAGTTTTAATAAGGTTTACAAATGTGCAATTAAAAATGTACAAATAATTTGAATTTGTATAAATTACTGATAAAATATTACGTATACGTACATTAAGTATACGTATTATATTACGTTCCACTACTAGGAGATTTCGTTTAAAGCTTCTGACTGGCATTTTAAAACCAGTTAGACGAGTTTTTCTAACCCCTTGCATCCCTTATAGTTTGGTTACCTTTAAAATAAGTTTAAATCAAGGCTCAAGTGTTTAATTGAATCCACAAAATTAATCACAATAAATAAATATATTAAAAACATTTGAAAATCAAATATAAATCCCAATTGTACACCTTATAGAATGCATACTGTACCGTGAGAGAGAGAGAGAGGTACTCGATGTGAGCTGTAAATTAGCCAGCGACAGGCATCGGTAGCAAATGGCGATTTTTCGCATAGAGATCATAATATCTTCAAGATACAACTTATCGGCCGAGAGCAAATTCGTACAACTCGTGGCTTGCATAACGCGCGGCCAAGCGACTGACCAATATTTACCGATCGTTCGAATATTTTCGCCACCCCCCTCGAAAACCCACTCCCCTCCTTCCCCCCTGCAACAATTTGTAGTTGCAAAAAATATAAAATTCGTTTGTAGTTCGCGCGCGCGCTTTTCTTTGCTTTTTGCCCAAGTCAATTAGAAGTTTCCGGTCCACAACGCGTTTCGCATACAAAAGACAACGTCAAAGAGACACAGAAAAACGATAAGCGAAATTAAGAAATCATAAAGTCCAAAATAATTATATAAATATTGTAATCGTTTTCGGCGGCCTTTGCGGCTCCCAATTGGGAGCAATACATAACTATATTTGGGGGCTGGCAAATTAATTAAGTACAAACCCAACATATTAATTGCAGTTAACGACCTACCTCCGCACCGAACTCGAAAACCGATAATCAAACGCACAAATCAAAAAGCCAGCAAAAAGCAATCATCATGATCAAAGCGAAAGACTCGACGTGGCTGCTGCTCATTTGTCTGTTAATTGGACAACTCTATGGTAAGTCAAGGACTCACTCTAATGACCCATTAAATCAAAGAACTAATTACAAATAACAAGATCAGATATTAAGCCACCAAAAGTGGTTTTTATTGGAAGCATTCCAAACAGAGGAAATTCCAGGAAAATCTCAGAAGAGATACAGAGAGAGAGAGAGTTTTGAGTTGTAATGAATGTGTAATATTTTTATGAGTACTTGTAAAGATAAGAAAATTGTTAGACCCAAAAGTGCAGCAGAAGAAGCTTTAATAGTATTTAGAAGAGGGTCGTAAAATTAAGAAAATTTGAAATAATATTTGAGTTGGGAAAATATCACTGCTGTTCAAATAGTTTGCAAACAGATGTAGGTTTTTTAATAGAAAAAAGAGAATACTATTAAATTCCCTATAAAGTATGTATTTTCCTGTGCCATAATTTCTTTTTTAAAAAGCCTAATACGCATATGAGCTCATTAAGAATATAGCAATATTGACAGACATTTCCTTATTTTGTATTAGCTTGCTCCCAATATATTTTCTCTTCCTGACTTATTAATTCTTCAAATTAAGAAAAGATAATTTAAAGACAATTTTTAATGACACATTTCCATATAAACCTAAAACTATTTTGGTATAAAGAATTTAAGTTAAATGGTTGTTATGATGATTGTTAATAAAAAGTCTGAAGTAATAGGAAACTACTTTTGGTAAATTCGAATCACTTGTTTCCTTAACTCTTTTTATATCTTCAACTTTAATAACCAATTATTAGCCTTAATATTCTTATATTTGTTCAACCAAATATGTATAGTTTATTTAGCATTTTGCATTATTTTACATTTCCTCCTCTGACTAACAAAAAAAATATATAGGGACAGATTTCCTTCCATTCCCTAAAAAGAAAGGAAGTATCCGGAAATGAATAAAATAACTTCCAATGACACATTTACCTAGCACTCTTTATCAGGGCTAGTTCATGGAAATGAGTTCATCATTTATCATTACACTATTCTGCATATATTTCCCCATTGGAAATGCCTGAATATCAATGGAATTATTTGAGGCACACCTCAGTACCTAATCGGGAGTGTACTTAATTGATCCCCTATTACCTCAACTTTTTGATTTCTTTTAATTTCCACAAAATGAACCCTTGGAAGTCAAAGTCTTTCGCGGTTCAATGGGTCTGCGTAAGTTTCCAGAAATTATGAATTACCGAATAATACAACGGCGGGACAGAAATAGGTAATGAGCCAAGTTGCTTTCGCTATCGCGTTCGAGTCACGAACCTTCCCCCACGCACACACACACAGGCGCCACGGGAAAGCTTCCAGATACGTTCCAGATATCATGTAGGTGTGAGCCAGGGCCAGAGCCACGTGCGTTTGTAGGGCTCTCTGACGACTGACTGGGCTTATCTTTTGCGTAAACTGAACAGAAACTGAATGTAGGTATAGGTGCCAGTTGGTGCGGCTGGAAAAACAAGCATATCTTATCGCCGAAGAGAGAGAGAGAGGAGCAAACACTTATCTCTACGCTCGGCAAAGTTAAAGTTAAATTTCATTCGCTTTTGGAATTATGGCGCAAATTGCTGATAACGGTTAACATTCCACATTCACATAGCACCGGCACGCACTGGCTTGGAAACTCTTTTTGACTTTCCCAATGGAAACTCAACCAGACTTTTCACCCATCACTTTTCCCGGGTGCCATGTGTTATGCAATAAGAATACAAAAAAAAAAAGACGAGAAAAAAATAGAATAAATAGAATAAATATTTGCTATGCACCAAGCGAAGCGTTGTGCAAAGAATGCCATTTTCATGTTGAATTTTTGCTCGTAAACTTGTTTTTTACCTGCTGGCTGTTTCACAGAGAGAAATTTTTTGGAAAAGTTTTCCTTAAATTGGAATTGCTTAGGTTTAGGGAAGGATACTGTTTTGTGAAGTGAGAATTTTGTATTTAAGAACATCTAATGGTAGACAAAAAGCCTGCATTTAAAAAGATTAAGATCACTATTCGAATAAATGTTATATCAATTATTCCAACGCAAAATATCACAATTGAAATCTAAAAATTGCTAGTGGGTTAAGTATATAATTTAACCAAAGGAACACGAGCGTTACAAACAATCGCAACTTCTTGGTAAATGATTTGAAGTTATATTTAAAGGTATCTCATATAAGGAAGTATTAGTGTTATGAGTATAAACATATTTAATTTTAAAATTATTTTCTCTAAATTGACCTAAAAGGAATACCAAACAAGATCCCTATGTAAATATACAGTTTTTAATTAATTTGTTATTTTAAATGAAAAACCTTATCCTACTTCGATTTCTACTAAAGAAAAACCTCTGTGTGTATGCGAAACGCCTTCTGAATTTCAAGTTATCTGTTGTCCCAGGGCATAGGCCACCACGATGTGTTTTCGCTAGAATATTCCAATATTAATATACTATATGGTTTTTAATTAAAAGTGAATTTCATCCAATTTTAGCCATGAGATAAGGCAATGGATAACCACAAAATAGAACACATACACACATGTGTGGGGAATTTCTAACTTGGCGTTCTCATATGTCAATAATATTCTAGCTGCTCCAAAATATCCAAGAATGTTTGGCCTACAAACAAAACTTGCCCCAGTCAATTTGTACAATCTTTCATAATACGGCAAACGAGTACGCTCGGTGTGCGATCCAACAAAAATATTTGTTTTCATGTTTTGAATTCTTTTTTCAGTTGCAGAACTCACTTGATAAAGACTTGGCCCTAATGGGAATTCAGTTTATTTACACCGAAAACAGATAGACACTCTCAAGGTTAGACGGGCAGCTCCAGCAGACCCATCCCTTGAGGGATCTAATAAAACAATGTTCCCAGAATTGGCGATTAAGTGTACACTTATGTATATAACTCTATATATATATATATGTACGATCTGGATGCATAAAATGCTTAGCTGACTTTTCGGCGGCTCTTTTTTCTCTTGGTGTTTTCCGAACAAACAACGAAATGATCAAATTACGCATTCGCCACGTTGGCTTTCCAAAAATAAAGATCGCATAATAAATCAGTGATTTGATCAATCAAAATGATTTGGACAGAGGCGAGTCCCGAGGGTGCGGAGGGAATGCGTGGTCCCACCCATTGAAGGGGAAATAGAGGTGGGGAGGGGAGTAGAAATCGATTTGCCGATTCAATTGATTTCAATTTAATTTTCCATTTATTATGTGTTTGTATTTTGTCGGCAGTTGCCTCCGTTTATTCTGCGTCTCTATGCAAATTCATGGAATCGAATTATGTATACAGTGGAGTGTCTTTATAACATATTCGTCTCATTGACTTTTGATCCAAAGTCAAGGCAATATAGCTTTATTATGGAATTGCTAGAAGTGTAAAAAAAACAGTTGGTTTTATAAATTAATTATATTTTGTATGTTTTTACTTTTTTATGTTATTATATTACTTAATACAGATATCTCTTCTAATTACATAGTTTAGGTAGCAAAGACATGTCCTTTTCTAAGAATAATATTTTTGGTAGCATACTTTTAAGCACCATTTGAAGAGATTTAGAACATATCATGTTTATGATAGATAATGTTTTAAGATATATTTTAAAACTGTCTTATCATTAGGATTGAAACAGTTTCAAGTGATTTAAGATCTCTAGAGAACGTCTTAATATTAAAAGCACAAAATACTTCCCGATCTCTAATAATAATCCCTAAATACAACATCAGATGGTTCAGTGTTTGGAAGATCAACTGTATGCTTTGACCACTGCCCCGATGTTTTTGGAACTCACCCAGTTCTGGGCACTTTTACGACCCCCATCACAATCGGACTTCTCCATCGTCTTGGACATGACATGTCGATTAAGGAATGTTTCCCCACCCAATTCGTCCAAATCTGGATGAGGTTTCCCTTTCGAGTTCTGAGATTTCAACCAAAAAAATAAAAATGCTGTGCATTTAGGATTGGCAAGCGAACAGAGATGCCATCATTTATTTATACACATTTCATTGACTCACCAGACTTGTTGTGCGGCTAGCGAGGATGTGTCGATGTGGGCCATTCTAGATTTGTTTACTTATTGACCTCATAACTCATCCGCGTCTGTATGCGATATCTCATGCGTCTACCGATGCGACCAACAACATCAAATAACGAACAAAATAACAACACTGTGATCATGAATTGGCAATCAAAATGGACTCTATATAGTATCGGTGAATCTTGAACTGAATCTTGAATGGGAGTTATCAATGGTCGGCTGATTTTCCCTGTCCAACCTTGCTGATAATACGACTCGAGTGAAGTACGTACATATGTCTAAGGCGCCAGGAAACCTCGTTAATGAGACTTACTAACATAAATACTTACTCGGAATCTGGGACAAAGTAATGAATATATACAATTGCATTCCCTGGAAAGACCGAAAGCAATGAATTTTGTACTTTTACCTAGAAAAAGTTAACTGAACTAACGCAAGAATTCATTTAATGAAACTTAACTATTTAAATATTCATGGCTACTTTTAATTATAACCTAACATTTAACTGGGGTAACTACTCTATAGATACTCTATAGATTGATATGACTTTCACCAAGGGGTTTTACCTAATTTACATTTAAAAGTGACACGATTTTATAGGATTTTGTTAAATTCCTGTGTTAAGGAGTGGCTATGAAAACTCTTACAGCTTTAAGGGTACTAAAAAACTTGTTTAAACTTTGTTTGTGTATCGTTTTCCAATTAAAAAATACTACAATTTATACTGAGTAACTTTTACTAATAGCTAACTGAAGTATATATATTAAAACTATCCTAAAAGAAGATAATAATAGGAAACTGTAACACTATCTAGACATTCTTCCACAAAACTTCTTCCAAAATAGGTTTAAATCAATATAGCAAACTCCAAAACAAGACAATCTAAAACATAATGCTTGGCAAATTGAAGAGCACACGAAGCAGACACATTTTTTTAAATAATAAACATCTGCACAGAATTCCCAAGAAGAAAACCCACGCAAAATTTTAACATGACTTCATCTGTCATGGAATGCAAAGTCATCAAAAGTTGGCCCAGAATGGAGGAATAGATGGACTGCGACGACAAATTCCCGACGACATCCCAATGCCAATGCAATACCCACAAATGGCCATTGTGTGTAACATTGAACTCGAGTTTAGAGACAAAAGAAGAAGTGACACGCTCCGGGGGAGGTCATGGAGAAGAGTCTCTGGATGAGAAGCTGGCGCCGCGACATCCTGACGCCATTGTTCCACTTAAAGCGATTGCACTGAGGGGCACCCAGAGCTGTATCTGGAGCAGGAGCTGAAGATTGGGGGTGTTGTCGCAGGGAGAAATATCCAAACATCCAGCTATCCATCCATATGGATGAACTTAAGCCGAAGTGGCTGTTGGTTGTTGCCAGGGGGAAGCTGCCTGCTGGAGCTGTTTTTTATATTTTTGCAACCCCCCAACGACATCGATCCAAGGACAACGGAGCTGGCCCAAAGGCACGGAGAGGGGAGGAAGCTGGATGACGCATGCGGCCCCCTTGAATCCCTCAGCTGACTTTCGGCGCTGACCTACTTGCAGCAAACAATTGCGTGGAGTCGGGATGTATCCGTATCCGTAGCCATATCCATAGCTGTATCTGTATCCAAGGAGTGCAACCTTGACACAGGCCAAAGATTGCAGCTAGATCGTTGCGGTGAAGGTCTCAATGCTGCTCTTGGCCAGCTTTTATATATCTCTTTATTTTGTTGTTGTTTTTACTTCAAAGTGGCCCCAAACCATAAAAGGGGCGTCTGAGCGGATGGCAATTGGATAAGATTGCCGGCTCCTCCGACTTTTGGTCTCAAAGTGCTCACCTTAAAAAGCTTTTATCGACCCGTGATAACGAGTTTAAGCGACTTGCGTAATCCCGGCTATATCCATCATAACCTTATACGATGGCCATGATGGAGTTTGTGACTCACTCAACTTGTCGGCCGTTAGATGTCAAGTGAGGCACATATGGCATGCAAATTGTTATGGCTAATACATAAAATGATTTGCGGCCTCTTAAAATTACTCATACGATTTGCATAAATCCTCCATTGCTGTCGGGAGTAGAGTCATAAGTCTTATGAGGAGAAAAAAGTACTTAACAATCCAAAATCCCTTTAGACTGTACTTGTCTTACCTGCTTTTATGGCATGCGTTAATTTACTTACAGCTTAGAAATTGTCTCTTCTCATATCTAGTTTGCTATCTGTGCGTGAGATTAACTGATTATATTTTATGATGAAACGTCAGAGAGAGACAGTTCTAGATTCTTTGAAACTGAACCTGACTAAGAGCAAACATTATTGCTAATCAAGTGCGAGTATCTGCAAATATTCATTGCGATATCTCCCCCTAGTTCCTGTTTTCAAGCTCATTTCCGTTCTCTCGCTTATAAACGAGTTCTTTGTGGCAGAAGCGACCCTTTGATTGGAACCAGAAGTTCCCTGATTTTTATCAGTTCCAATTAAGTCTGGAACCACTTAGAGGGTGAGTCACTCGGATGCACCTTTTTCATAACAAACTTAAGGAAACTAGGCTTGAATGAATACTGCATATTGATCATTTAATTTGTTTATTGTAGCTCTGACTGTGAAAATGTGTGTGTGTTTTCTCCATAAGGTTTAAAGGTGCGATTTATAAGCAAATTAAAAATAACACCTGTAGTTTTTATGAGTAATAGGTGTGATCCATAAGATTGACTTTTTCTATTAATATGGTTTTATGACTATCTAGCTGAGAGAAATCTCGTGATAGTTTAGGTAAGGGGTTATTAAACCATAAATATAAAGAGCTGAATTTATGAGAGATATCATTTCTAATGATTTAAATAAAATAATAATGATATACTTCAAACCTTTTCCAGTGCCCAGCCTTGGATCCCCTATAGAAGGAGATCAAACAGACTATCAGGAAGATGACTATGACTATGGTGATCTTGATGATGGAGCCGATGACTCATCCAAGGGTGATGTTCCAGCCACCTTGGATATTACCATGCCACCGCCTTACTTTGAGGAGAACGATCTCAGGATCGAGGCCAAGCCGGGTGAAGATGTGGTCCTCAACTGTGATGCCCGCAATTTCCAGCGTGAGTTTCCAAGACTTAACTTTACCAAAAAAACCCATTCGAAACTTACAAACTCTCCTCTAATTCAGTGAGCAACGCTGTGATGTGGTACAAAAACAAGACCATTATTGCCAATGGCCAGAATGCCATTGGTCATCGCGTGGAGTGCATGGCCAATAACTCCATCCTACTGAGGGACGCCTCCGCGGAGGACTCCGATGACTATTACTGCGAGATCCTGCCACAGATGGTCCGACAGCACACGACACTGCGGGTGGGCGCCCGGCTGTCGATCCTCTGCGACGATCGCGATGTTACGGATCGCTCGCAGACGTTCAGGCAGGGTGACCACCACAAGCTCGAGTGTCGGACATATCTGCCGGGCGAGAATACCATCAAGTGGTCATTTAATGTATGTTTTTATTCCTCCATTTATCCCTCCCCTATCCACCATTCATCTGTGATCATCCCGAACCTTCCTTCATCCACGTGTCTTGCAGGGTCTTCGCTTGGAATCATCACCCGAGGACATTAAGAATGGCGTTGTTATATTGGATAATATTGATGAGGAGAATGCTGGGGTGTATCAGTGCCTGGGGGATGATGGCAGTCGTGATCCTCCCCATGGCATGGTCACCGTTGATGTTCAGTACAGTCCCAAGGTGTCCACCCATCGGCATCATGTGAACACCGAAGAGGGTCACACCGCGGAACTGTACTGCAACTATCGGGCTAATCCCATTGGTAGGAGTTACTTCATCAAGGACGGCAAGACCCTGCAGCTCTCCGAGAAGTACTCGCTAAAGGACTCCGCCCACAATGGACACAATCGCACCACGTTAATCATCAGGGAAGTGGGTAAAGCGGATCTGGGAGAATATTTGTGCCAGGTGGAGAATGCCATTGGTTCGAATGAGGTGAAGGTGCATGTCAGTTACAATCCAGAGACGCCGCAATTCGAGGACATGAAGGTGGAGGGCACCAAGGTGACCATGCACTGGCTGGTGAGGAGTCGTCAGCCGCTCTCTGAGGCCATATTGGATTACCAGCTAACGGGGGTGAGTGAGGGATTTTAAGGAAAATGGGAAATACTTGGGATTTGTGTGTTTAAGAACATTGTAAGTCCCTAAAATATGTTTCAAAATGCTTAGTTTTAATCATACTTTTGCAGCATACTTTTAGATGCTTCTCAAACTATATAAAATTTATCTCTTAGATATTTTCCTAATCATAAAGTAATCTTTAGTCTTCTAGAAAATAGAAATATTTTACTTTTTTAGCTCCAATTAATCCCCAATCTTTCCCCTATGTAGTCCTACACTTGGAGCACAGTCTCAGTGCTCCAGACACATCGCCACAATCACACCGAGGGCATCTGGAAGATCACACATCAACTGGACCTGCCACGACGCGGCCTGTGGCATGCTCGTGTGAAGGCAAAGAACACCCATGGTTGGTCCAATTTCTCGCCGGATCATGATTTCCAAATCGAGGATGATGATGGTGAGTCATATTTACGGAAGTCCCATGAACTCAAGCTACATACATATATCTTTATTCCGATAGAATCAATCGTTGCTCCCGATATGGATCTGCCGCCGGAGCAGATTATGCAGGCGGGCATTGGCATCACCCGAGGAGGAGCTGCATCAGCCATAAGGCAGCTACCCCTGATGACTCTTGGATGCGGAGTGCTCCTGGCCTCGCTCCTGCTGCGCCTCCGCCACTAAAGCCTCTAAGAAAAAGGGGAAGTGTATATACGTTTTTCCGGATTACGCGACCGCAAAGAATAGGAAACGAGGAGAAACTAAAGTATTCTAATTATACAAAATGCTAATGCGCGCGCCTGCTAGCTTGGGTCAATGTTAATGTTAATGCTAAAGTACACACACGCTGGAGCGATCACCACTAAAACATTTGTGCCAAGCCAGGGAATTTGGACCGCAACGAGGAGGAGAAAGAGGATGAGTGATAGAAGAACGGCAATTAAAGTTAATTTAGTTTAGTTAAAGTTTAAAGTTAAAGTTTGATGAATTGACATTGCAACGAGCCGAAAGAGAATGTGAACATTTTTTTAATTAGGACACAAAAACTGCGACGATCGGTTTAAAACCGCCCAAAAAAAAGAAGAAAAGAAATTGGAAACCTTTTTTGATTAACCTTAGCTATAATATTTATTTGTTTTATATGTATGCATGTGAAAGTTGGCAAGACGAAGAGAGAGAGAGAGCATCCTTGTTACCTGAAACGGAAACGGAAACATAAATAGGGCTCGAGTCGCTTCCGGGTAACGATCTAGTGACTTTTTAGGATTTGCAATACTTACACAATATTTTTGTACAGCCAAGCGTACTTAACGTACTGGTTAGTGTAGTGGGAGTATCAATGGGAAGTTGGGAAGAGATCTGTCAAAGGGCACGCGAATTATTTTATATACACTAGACCAAAGCTTAGAAATACACATGAGGTAAACAGCAGCACACCATACATATGAAACCTACTTTTACGAAACTACGCCACATCAAAATGGAAACGGAAACGGAAACAAAAACTGGACAAATCAGGGGAGCGGGAAGGTAATTTGGGATATACACATACACTACTTACTATATATGATAGAGGGTTTTGTCATTGATTCTGCTACAATACCTGATGAAGAATATCGCCATAACATGCTGACCATATAATCCAATTGTGAGTGTAGGTACATATATTTTATATATATTTTATTTAAGAATCATATAACATTAGAGCTGATCAATAAACGTGCCAATTGAAGCAATCAAGCGAATCTTATTGCTCAAAATCAAATGATAAAGAAATGATAAACATCAAAAAAAACAAAATAAAAGTTCCATAAACAAAGTTTTGACGAGGACCTGATTTCGAATGCCGACCTTTAAGCATATACATATATACAGAATCATATATATATATATATATAACGATATACTTAAAAGCCAGTGTCTTACATGAATATTGTCATTTTCGTTGAGTCCATGGATAAGCTAAAACACAAATATAAATAAACTAAACGAAGAAATTCAAGAGTTTTCCTATTGGTCTCGAAATAGATTTCGGGTTTTGTATACTTTGGTTCCTTTTTTATTTAATAAATAAAGTTGATTTCGCGTGTCTTTACAAAATACAAAAAATTTACAATCAACAGAGACTTGAATTGAATCGATTTCCTTTTGAGAAGATTGGAAAAAGTATATGGCTTAATACTAAACTAAACTAATGTTTGATGATCCCCAGCAGCACTAGCAACGTCCATCCAAGGAGCAAACTGCTGCTAGCGGATCCTGATCCTGCCGTGGAAGTTGAACTCTCCGGCGCAATGGCATCCAGGGAATGTTCAGCAATCGAGACCTTTGTGTAGACCACGGAATTTGAGGGCACTGCCAGGCAATGATAGATCCCAGCATCCTTTGGACTGGCCTTCAGAATGATCAGATCGTTATTGGAGTCCAGCTCGAAATTGGACAGAAGCAGGCTCTTGCCATTGGCAATGATATTCTCGCCGAAATACCAAAGGATCACGCTCTTTGCCAGCACTAGAGGGGATAATTATTCATAATTAGAATGGTTTTGAGGGTGTATATAGTTTCAAGGACTCACCATTGCTGTCCAAATCGCATTTCAGGACCAAATCCTCGCCTCGTATACCCGTTGCCGTTAGAGTTTTGTTGACTTTCTCACTGGGACTTGCAGGACTTGTGGCCTTGGTCTGTGGAGAGGGCGCACTATCATCATCATCATAGGTAAAATCATCATTTTGCATCTCTTCATCGGTTAAGCCTTGGGGAAAGGATAACACTGCAAAGGAAAAATAAGAATTTAATAAGAATATAGGTTTTTTATTTTAACTTTCCTTAACCTCTCCTTATCAAATCTTTAAAGTGCTTACTTTAAGTATCTATTTAAACAAACTTTGTTTGGTTCTAAGAAGATCATTTAATTAGCTCTTAATGCTCCCTATCTAGCACATTAAAGTTTATCTATAGCTTTAAGAGATCTTCTGCAATCATGGACCATCGGATTGTTTATAATACCCATTCCCCCTAGGGGGTCACATCAGCCACCACATTTAGTCGTTGGGTTAATTAAAGGAAATTAAATGGAAATCGAAACCATGGCAAGCTGCTGCTGCTTTTGTTGTTAATGTTGTTGCTTTAGCAGTGTGCATTAGGCCATCATAACTGTCTGTATTTGTGTTTGTTTTTGTCTTTATCATTTTCGCAGCTCAAATTCATCAAGGAAATTTTATGGTAGAGGGAGAGACGTGGGTCGACGAGGGACAGCTGCACAGATGATGGGTTAAATTAAAAGGCTGGCAATTCGCATTTACAGTTTTCCTGTTCGTTCTTCGGTTCTCCACAGAATACACAGAGAAAAATTAGCATTCAACTTTAAATTACAAGTAGAAATTTATACATCAATTGGTTTATTTTAATAAAAGTAATGGTATTTTAATAAATAAGAGAGAAATAAGGTAGGAAACGCACTTAAGCTTGGAATTTTAAGGTGAAAATCAATCATAACTAAGTAAAAAATTGATTAATTTAACCTGAAGATGCTAAAGTGATACCCTGTATTTTTGTATATTTTTTCTTTGTTTTTATAAAATACTAATTAAATATATTATCTTTTCAAGTGTACTTAGTATACTCATGTGCATGTGTACAAACATATTTTGTGGAAAACATTTTCGGTGAAATGGGGTCACATGAAAACCGAAAATTAAAATGAGCGAATGGAGAGAAATAAAGGGAAAACAACAGTGCCTAACCCAACACCAACACTCCTCCCCCTCGGCTATCACTCCCTCTCCCTCTCACTCTCACTCCCGCGGGGTTCTACCTCCCTCCCTGCCTCTCACCCAACCTCCTGGCCACTTGGGCGAGATCGCCGCACCCACATGTGACGTGCTGACGGAAAGGAAAACTATACCAACGCCAGAGAGAGAGAGGAGAGCGAGGAGAGGGGCAACGCATTGGGCCACTTTTTGTTTTTTGGTGGTGTCACCGATGGACACACACACGCCGGAATTGAAAGCATTTCACAACAATGTCCATTTTCATAGTGCCAACTGCAACACGCATACACGTCAACATCCTAATGCACTGTAAACAAAATGAGGGAGGTTCTAAGAAAGTTAAAATTATTAAGGAATTTAGGGGAATTATTCAACAAATGATCCAAAAATGGAAAGAAAGGTAATACAGAAAAGGTAAAGTTAAGAAAAGTTAGCTAAAGATAATAATAATATTAATAATCTAGATTTTGGAACTATTTTTGATATCTGAAGTACAAAAATTATAAAGAATATATATAATTTATGTATATTAACTTAAATAAAAACAAGTTCAAAATATCAGGTTAATTAATAATTTGGATAATGCAAGTCCTTTTATACTTCTTCTTTATTTCTTCAAGGTATCCTTATAGATGCTTATATATTTTGTATATAATTCCATGTAGAATATAGTATGTATAATAATAATATTTTATATATAATGCTATATAAAATATGGTATACTCTAAAACTTTTACCGGCCTTTGATGACACCTGTCTAATATGTACAGAGCATAAAAAAACTGAATATAAACAACAATCCCATTGTAATCATTTCAACCACCATAAACTTATCTTAAATTTATGTAAAAAAATACTTAAGTGTTTCTAGTATCAAAATTTTCAGCTTAATTCTCCCTCATATTATTCTTTCAGTGTACAAAATAAAACACCGCACACACCCTCGAAAAATAGGGGACAGTTTAGGTCGGATGATTGTGAAAAGTTTAAATTTACATTTTGTACATTTGCTTTGGCCGCTTGTTTCTATGAGTGTTATGGCCAGTTTTTCATTGTTTGCTCAGTGTTGCGTGCTAAAATAAAAAAAAGAAACAAAATTTTGGACAATACAACAATTCCCCGTGGGCTTCCAACTCGAATTCCGATTCCGTTTTCGATTCTACAATTCCTGCCAAAAGGAAAATGATCTTTCCCCTCTCACTTATTTTTCAAGAATTAAGGCCACAAAAAAATGCACATTCACTCACGCGCATTCGCTCTTTGTCGTAAACTTAAGCCATAAAAGAAATTTATTCTTGTATTTACATTGAACCAAAAGCCAACTGAATTTATGTTGAATGTTTTCCGCCCCACAAAAAAATAAAATAAAATATAAAAGAAGATGCCATTGAACTGGGAAGATAAGGCCAGTAAAGCTAACACAACAATTGCAATGAAAGTTTATTTTATTTGCAGATTTCTTTTTTCCAGTAAAATCGAATGGGTTTTCTTTTATTTTTTTTGGCTTCCGATAAACAAAAACGATAAGAAACTTGGTGAGTTTACTTTTTTGGGGTAGGAAATACAAAGTACAAATACAAATAAACATTTTAAAATGAGACGAAGTGGATTGTTTTGTATATGTTTCTGATTGTTGAATAAAAACTTAAGATCCCTATGGGATCTAAAATATATTTGCAATGGGAATAATTAGTGTTAGGGGGATTCTAAAACAGGAAATATAAATATACAAAATATTTGTTCCATCTAAAAATATTATTTAATGAAAATGTATACATAGATATTCCTATGAAAAGATTAAACCATTTAAGACCTTCATTTATAATCGAACCTCTTATTTTGGGTTCACATCCTCCCGAAAAAAACGATCTTAACCCTGGATTATGTACGCTTTCGTGTTCTCTTTATCTCTGAGGAGAGATAAAATTTCCCCCTATAACTTCCCTTAACCCTTGTTCCTGGCCCAGTTTAATTGCTACTCAGAATTAGACCGACAACAATTTATCATAACCATGATTCTGGAAATAAAAGATAGAGCGATGGAAATGCATTTTTCAGCTAATAACCCAAAAGCCACAGGCCAAAGTTAAGTCGAACTATGTATATAGTGCCAGTCACTCCCCTTCTGCCGCTCATTTACCTTTCCCCCTCTGAGCCCATAGTTTTGGGAATCATTCAAGTGCAGCACTTTTGTTGTTGGTTTTTACTACCTGTGATAAGGCCCCGGGAGGAAATTAAGAGCCCAGGCCAGAGAGAGAGAGAGATAGAGAGATGGAGAGAGGGAGGGAGGTAGCTCTCTGATCTCTGATCTCCTTTCCGAATGGTTTTCAGGTTTGTCCAGCCGGGTTGGCTTTGTTCATCCCCTCCTCTAAGCCAAACACTTAAAGAAATTCAGTATACAGAAATTTCTGAGTTAAATAAAAAATATTATTTTTATTTCACAAATGAGAGTTCCATTTATAGCAGAAATATGTATGTTATATGTGGATATTTCTTACTAAATAACAATATTTGTCTGTTTAAAAGTACAATACAATACAAAAGGAATTTATATAATTGTATATCATATTTTTAATTATAAATCTCTTTGAATCCAATATATTATTTATAATGTCTTAAATTGCTTAACTTTCATGGATTTTAGGTATGAAAAATTAAAAAAAAAACTGTAGAAAAAATCCAACAGTATTATTTATAAGACTTCAAACTTTTAAGGATTGTAACAAATTCTAAAAATATTAAGATAAACCCCTTTACAATATCTTATAAATATTCTTATTTTCCCATAATTTTTCCAACCTGAATTGCAATTTACCCCTCATTTTCCCCGAGTGTAGTACGTGTCTGACCAGTCACCGCTTTCTAGAGGAGAAAAGACCTGGCCAAGGGACCGTCTCTTTGCGTTATATGAGCCGAAAATTGTTTGTGCGTCGACACTGGAGGATGAGGAGTTGGAGTTGGAGGAGATGATGGCTTTGTGCCTGTGCCTCTGCCTGCGCCAGTCTGGGTGAGTATCCGTGTCCATGTGTGGCAGATAGAGACATGAGGCGAAGCGGATAATGATAATGGCATTCGGGTTCTGTGAAAGCGATCAGGTTACGGCCATGGAGGACCACGGATCGAGAACCTCATAAAGTGACTACCTACGCACACCGGGACCGAGGGCACTTTAAAAATTGAAATTGGCCAGGAGCAATGCCCACGGAGGGGGAGGAACACACTCAGGACACTCAGGAGCAGATGTGCGGCATTGACAGATGCCGAAAATAGCAAAATTATTCGCAAATCGTGTGCCGGTCTATGGAAGAAGGGATTGCAGACCACAAAACTCATTTGGCAGCTGCCATTCTCTGGCTAAAAACTAATTGAGAGGATTTTAAAAAATTTGTGCCACAAAATATGCAAATGCCTTTCAATCATTTGAACCACACATTAACCTAATCGATTTATTTCCATTTTCTCATTCGCTTGATCCCCCAAATGTGAGCTGCGGCATCAAGTGGCCGCAATAAATTTCGATTTTCTATGATTCAAATAGATTCTAGAAGCACTCACTGCACTTTCTTCATACGCGTTTCCCAAAAACAGAGAACATTGATTTCACTTAAACGATTTTCCCCTCAATCGGGGTCGGTAGAATTTTTCCCCACTGGGATGGATGGCTGCACGTGTCGGCGGCAAGTGCCATGGATTTGGGTTCGGAATTGGATATGGAATTGTGCGGGCATAGTGCCAGTAGTTGGTTGAATGGATGGCCATATGCTATATAGTCGAGGCGCGACTTTGACTACGCCCAGTGCATATTAAGAGGCTTCGGGGGCAGGGTTCTTATGTGCTTCTCCTAATTAATATGCGGCACTCCTTTCTAGTTCTTCCCTAACCATCGATCCATCTATCCCAATGCCTACCTCCTCCATTCCCCTATTAACTGCTTGGGTTCATTACGATTTGGGTTTCAAGTCAAAGTTTCAATTGGAATTTTAGCACGCAGCAGAGAACATCATGAACAATATGCCGTTAAGAATTTGTTAACAACAAAAAGAAATCCAGAAAAATAAATACTTGCTAATAAGTGTGAGGAAGGCAGTTTGGACATTTATTGCTAGTAAAGCATTTTTCAAATTTTAAAATCTAAAAAAAACAAGTAACTGTTGAAAATTGCAATGTTCAAAGTTGGTTTCAAATCACAAGCCTTAAATCAATTTTTTAAGGTTGCTAAAAAAACGTAAATAAAATAAGACAGACTTTGAAGGTTTTTAAAATACTATGTTGCAACTTTGAAATCAATTAGTTAAGCTTAGTAAAACATAACATACAAATTATAAGTTTTAGAAGCTATTATAGACTTTCTCAAGTATGAATTCTTTTGCCTAGACATCATTATTGATATATTATATATTTAAAGTTATTATACAGTTTTTTTAAGCATAAATTATGTTGTCTAGACATCATAAATTACTTTTTATATATGTAATTTAAATATGTTATAGAGTTTTTCAAGTATGAATTCTTAAAAATACATTTGAAACTCATTAAATTCTTTATAAACAACCTGTTTTTTTTTGTCTTTTGAAAGAAAAAATAAATGATGTATAAGTGTTTTTAGTTTACTCATAAGTTTATCAGTTATTTTAGGTAGAGTTTAATATAAGTTAAAGCTAGGAAATCATTTAAAATCAGTCTCCTAGAATACAAATAAGTCTAGAAGAATATTTAGGATAGTTTTATAAAAATCTTAGAAAAATGTATCAATTCGTCTAGGCTATAAACTAAAGACTTCTTTATATTCGATGATCTTAAGCATTCTTAACATAAGCTCTCAAGATAACACATTCCACAGATTAATCTGAAATCGCGGCATTGCAAAGCTGCAAAATAGCAAACATTCTAGCTTGATCGGGTGCCTTTGAGTATATATACTCGATCAGCACTTCTTTTAATCTTGATGATGGCTCGTAAATTCTGGAAATACTCAAATATAAAGCCCAAGCTGAAGAAGCATCTGCGGCTTTTTAACTTTGACTTCTGCCTGCCACTGAATCACCAGTTGGCTTCTCCATTATCGTGCCGATGATCAGCGGTTTGATGTGCATGTACAGAGTCATGTACAAGTAAGCTATATAGGCATTATGTATATGTATATATATATATGTATATGTATATATGGATGTACATATCGTGCCCCACTTGAATGGTGCTGCAGCAAACCGCACCCGCTTGAAATGCCCGCACTCCGCGAGACGGACAACAACTCATTCAGCGGCAGGCAATTCGCCAGCGACGCTAAGTAAATTGATTCTTTAATTGTCGAGAATTGGTTACGAGTTGGCTTAACTCGCTCTTGCCGGCACAGAGAGTGGGTCTCCTCCTCTGGTGTACCCCCGATATATCCCCGATGTGCCCACCCACTCCACAAAGCCCCCATCTGTGCAGTAGTGCAAGCGAATCGAGCGAGTATATGAATGCCATGCCATGGTATGGCATACAGACAGATCGAATGAGTCACCATGGTCCAAAATAAATACCCGGGGTACTTCGTTGAGCAGGAATTTCTGCACAGACAAGGGCAGGGCCCTCGCAATATGCCACTCCCACCTCTGCTCCCTATTGGTAGGTATATACAATATCAAGATCGAGAAATCAATTCACGAAAAGAGGGATCATGAATTGGACAACAAACAAAACTGTGGAATTTCAACCTGTGACTTTGTTAAGTATCTTTTTTTTAAATGTATAAAACAGGTCAACAAAAATGAAACAAATTATAGAACCCCCAAAATGGAATATACCTCATCATAGATATTTGATTTTCTAAACTCGAATCCAATTCAAAAAATCCCTTGTACCATAGGTTTTTGAGATATTCGAATTTAAAAGTGAGGTACATTTAAGGTTCTGCAACTTTAATAGAGATTTTTCTTTTGGAAACGCTTTAAGTACACTTATTGCCTTTCAAAAACAGTTTTTCGAAATTGGAAAAATCTTTATTGCTCTCTGAGACTTTGAGAAAATGTATATTCCCTTGTTGGTTCTAAAGTTTGCTAGTCTATGTTATCTTTAAGAATTCATGTATAGAAAAATACCTTTAAATACATGATTTCCTTTCGCATAAACTGAGTACACATACATATATTATATGTTATGCCACCTTCTCTCCCTCGCATTTCGAGCCAAATGAAATCTTTTTTATGCTTCTCGCTTCTTCGCCATATTCGCGGTCATTTGATGCCTTCTTTTTTCTGGGCTATGGTTCTGGTTCTGGTTCTGGTTTGGTCTTTTCCCGGGCACTTCAATTCGCACCACAACATTCCATGAAATTCAATCCCCAATGCGGAAAAAAGCGAGGGAAAACAAGGCACTCCTTCAAAAAATAAAAATACCCAAAAAAAAAGCAGAAAGAATTTGTTCTCAAAAATCGGGACACTTGGAAAATCTGCTGAGTAGGAAAGTTTTTAGGAATTGCTTGTAAAATGTAGAAACAAGGAATTCAAATTTCAAAGCATGCTTTTTAAGTTATTCGACTCTTGGTGAACATAAGATACAAAATGTCAGGATGTCTCAAGAAAAGGCCAACAAAGTTATACACAAATTTATAAAGAAGCTAAATGTATGTCTATATAGAAAATTCGTTGGGAAAAACCTGTTTAACTTGGAATTAAGTGGAGATTTTTGTCTCCGATTTGTCTGCTGAAGATTTAGAAAAGATAAATACTTGGCTTAGTCTTTATATGTTTGGTGTAATCTAAAAGTTTAGTTTACTTTGTTTTACTTTGGCTATATTTTATAGTTTGATTGTGATATTAATATATAAAATACAAATCAAGAAAATACCTCTTGATAAATTTAAAAACAGAGCTTGAATAAATAAATAATCTATTTCATATTAAAGCAAGATATTTTTTACATAACTTTTTATATTGTCTGAGTATCACAAATCCCCACAGATTTCAATAGAGAAACTGTCAACGTCATTCACATATTACCTTCATGTTCAATTAGACATTACTAAGATACCTGTTTGTATCAAGAAATCAAGCATTTAAAGCCTTGCAAAATCTGCAATGTTAATTGACGTTTAAGGAATTTGCAATAGCGTCATAACAGACAGACTAAACACCGTATTTTTCTCTCAGTGTTTAGACTTGTTGTTTACCCATGTCAAGCGCAGTCGGACATCTTTGGAATATTAAGTAAATATGTTAAATATATGGACTGAGCAAACATAAATTCCTGGCGGATCAGAGAGGAAACTGCCTTTCATATATGAGTATGTATATATTGGTATATATAAAAAACAAGCCCACCATTTCGCAATCCAATCAATCCTGATGATAATCTTATTGTTTATGGATTGGGGTAGGCAAACAAAATGCGGAAAAAGGGGTTCCAGGTGATCACACCAAGACACCAATAGTGTTCTCACGCTACTTCGACACGCTTCTTTAGGGGAATCCCTGACTACCTAGCGGTGAGTTGAGGGGCTAATTAATACCAGGACCCCGAATCGAAATCCGAATCCGATACCCAACCCTCCTTTGGGTGCTCCTATTGATCATGGGTTTGTTTTTGCTCATTTCCTGGCCGCTGGGACAATGGTAAATATCTGGAATAATTAACAGCCGTAACCAAGTTGGAATCACAAATGGCAAAAAGCAGCAGCAGCAGCAGAGTCGCCGCCACTCCCCTCCCTCAAAACATTTCCTACCAATATCATCGTCTGAATGAGCTGAGGAGGAAAACTCGTATGCCATTCATCGAACGTGATAAATAACTGAATTAATGTGACGGCCTTTAGACAATAAATTATTCAGTTTACTGTTTGAAGTCATTCGCTGTAAAAAAGTGCAAAAATTACCAAGTAATAAAAACATTAAGATACACTATCCATACAGTAAGATAGTGAAGAAATGCGGAAATCCCTGGCATATATTTAGCATAATGTCATCAGAGACTAGATCTGATAATGAATCACTATGCAAAAAAGGGGGCTAATGGGAATCCTAATCGCTCATCATCATTTCAATGATTCATTTCGTTCATAAAAATCCCCCAAATTCCATTCTAATTTGCATAAATAAATAATATAAGAAAAACTAGTCACTTGGTTATATATTTCTTTTTGTGTTTCAGCATATGAAAGATCATATTTTTGAACTCAAACATATTTCAAGTTATAATTGGATTTTATATATATGGGAAAGATTGTGCAAAATGCTTGTGAAAGAAAATATTTAAAAGAAAATCATGGGTTAATAACGAAAAGGAATTTAAAGTATGATATTACTTAACTCGAAATATAAATATTTTAAATTACTAAAAACAAAATCGTAACGTAGATGTAACATTTTAGTGTTACAATGACTATTGCTAATTATATATTTATTTATTTCCAGTGCATTAATCATGCTGGGATCGAATGTAGGTCAAAATTGGTTGGAAACATTCCAGCCCCACGGCATTATCATCCCAATGGACTGACGCCCAACAATCACATCGATTTATAGTAAATTCCTGGACTGCACTTTACAAATCCCAGTCCGAATCTGATCCATTGCGATTAGTGTCGAGACTGATTTGATTTTATTTTGTATTTTGTATTTTTGGGGTCGCCCTCTTACCAATTCGATTAGATTATTTTACAATTGCATCAGGCTTAACCCCAGAAGGCACTTACCCGTGGAGCAGCCCACGATCAGTAGGAGACCGGCAATTAGCAGCGATCTTTTGGACATCATTATTTTTTTATTTTTTAAGTATATTTTGTAAAACTTTAATTATGATGAGTGCACTCTTCGCCGGTCTGAGCTTAATTAGGTATCCAATACGCAGCGTTTTGGGCTTTTGTTCGATGATATTTCGAAATCGATGTCACACAGTGCAACCAACGATTGATTTCTGGTGACCTTTTCGATTTTTTCGAAAAAATTATTGCCGCGTAATTATGTTGACATTAAAGCGTTCCAATTTCCGGCCAGCACTGTCAGCACCTTTTCTCCAGAGGGGGAAATTGCTATTGTTATTGATTGGAAACTATTCTTCTGGATCTCGGATTATGCACACACCACACCAGATCACCGGGGGAGAAAGATATATTATATTTTTCAAATCTCGTTTCGAATATATATAACCGTCTGTTCGGGTCAACGTCGGGAAGAGAAGTGAACGTTGGTTTTTAAACACTATATTGGTATAATGCTTGGTTCAGCCAGTCTTGTCAAAGAGAGTCGGGGAGCGTAAGAGAGTGCAAGCGCCTGCGAAGAGCGAGAATTAAGAGCGCGTTGACTATGTGGCGCAAAATAATTTTATTTAAAAACATTCTTTTCACAAAAAGGGGGTTGTATTTTTAGAAAGAAAGCATTTCCTGGCCATCAAGTATGAATAAACGGATGTGGACCACTGAAAGTGTGGATTGTGCCTAGAAAAACTACGGCAAGAGGTAAGGGAAATGCGAATTTGTACTTTTTTCGCTAAATGAAAATAAGTTAAAATTGTAATGATAATAAAAATATGGGCAAAAGAACCATATTTACTAGTATATAAAATTAATCAATGATAATAACAATACTTTTTTCATTATTGAATGAGAAATTCAAGTTCATTTAATAAATAAATGTTTTTCTATTTTAAAAACTATAGAAAAAAGTACGAGATTTTCTTTGAAATTTGAAGACCAATTTATTCTTATTTTTTTTATTAAAAATCAATCTATTGATACTTAAGCAGGGCAAATATAGTAATACATTAGATCAAAATTGTAAAAATATAGAAAATATATTACTTTTTAATAACTTAAATACATTAAATAAAGTTTTAAAGATTTATTGACAATTCACAATCTCCAGAATCTCAAGTCTTTGCTGAAAGCACTTATTTGTTTAGAATGGTTTTATAAAATCAAAAATGATTACTAATTTTATACAGTACAAGTATAGTAAATAATTATATTAAAATATTGATACAAAATGTATAATTTAAAATGGTTTTATAACTTTGTTTCTCAGGCACCATTTATATGTTATTTATTATTTATGAGTTCCTATATAAATATTTATATAGTTAATATATGTGCAATTTTCCAAATTGCCCATCTACAAACACAAGATTTTACTTAACTCTTTCAAATTGAAAAATAATACTAATAATTGGCTGAACTGCTTTTACGAAAGCCCCAATTAATACACAATTAAGTAACGAAATGCAATTTAATTATTCCACATGCTTGCGCTAAATTCCTGCAATTGCTGAACAGCACATGTCCATGCATTCTCCACTCTGAACCCCTTTTTACTCCCCTTTCAATATTCTTGTTCTTGAAGAACACTACTTGCAGTTGCAGCAAAAGATTCGCGGAAATTTATTTGCATCCCCGGGAGACAATTTGCTTGATGCAATTGCGGCTTTTTCTCAGGCCTGCATGGGAAGCCAAAGCCGCTGCCGTGATTTCCTTGCGGCATTCAAAGGGGGTTGAGGAAACATCCAATGGAGTATAGCGGAGTGATGCAGAGTTCCTCCGACGGCGACTTTTGTTTATTTGTCAGTGTCTGATGACGCCTACATCGCCTCAGATACGCGCTGCGAGATACAGATACTTGGCGCAACAGATGCAGTAACAATTTATGAGTGCGACAGCGTCCGCATTAAATGTATCTACATGCAACATTTGCACTGTACAAACAAACAAACAATTAAAATTAATCTACGAGCATGAAACAAAGTGCCTGGGCATTATGCATTGCACAGATAGATCTCTTTCAGGCTCGTGTGTGTGCGTTGCACTGAGGGAAATTATCTGTAAGGATAAGCTATGAAAAAAGCGAGTTAAGGGATTAGTTTTTTGATTTTATATTGATTAAGGGTAACAAGATTTTGTATAAAATTGCAAGAATGTAACACGTTAACATGTTTAAATATTAAAAATGAGTTCAAATCATTTTAAAATGAGTCCAAACGTATTAATAAAATATTTTAAACTCAATGCAATTCACCTTTTCAAAGCGTGCGTAATTGTGTAGCATACTTTTCAGCTCCAAATTAACCGATTTTCTTGACCCTCTTTAATATTTATTTATATTTCTTTATATCTATTATATTTATTATATTTATTTATATTTATAATCCCAAAAGAGCTTATTCCTCTCATTCTACCTTCCACCTTTCCAATGATGCTTCATTTTTTCCAGTGTCTTTGGTAAGATGTTTGTGTTGTCTTCTGTTGGGTGCCAAGCTTGTAAACATCCGCAAATTTAGAACAATTCCAAGGGGCCTCTATTTCCAGAGAGCAATGGGATTGAATAGGCGTGGATATTAATCAAATATTTATATTTACCCACACCAAGACTAGCACACACTCGCACTGGAACACAAGCACACACACGGGAATGCACACAGCAAGATTTCTGATGGCGACCGCGGTGCATTCGTAGAATTTCCAAGAATTCCATTCTTTTGAAAACAAATTAATCAAACAACAAGGGCGACAACAAAGTTAAAAGCCAGCAGAATGGAAGCATACAGAAAGAAGATGCTGACAGCATGAAAATTTTTGAATTTGTGTTAGAATCCCGCGAGAAAATTGAAATGTTCCAAGAGGCGCGCAGACTCAGAATGCAACGGCTGCTTTAAGAGAGAGAGCTTCCATTTCCACTGGCGTCTAAGAGAGCGCTGGCTGCAGTTGGCAACGCGGCCAAGCCCAGTGGGGGAGTGACGGGAGCAGGGGGAGGAGGAGGATGAGGAGGGCTGGCTGCAGATTGCACCAACTGCAAGGGAATGCTGGAAAGTGGAATTGACCTAGGCGCTGTCTCGCTCTTGCACCTCGTGTTTTGCATGCTAAATGGAAAATTAAGTTTCCTTCACGGTGCGATTCCGACACATTTCTGGATTTCCAATTGGGCACCACTCCTGCGACTGTGCTCTATGAGTCATCTGCTCTCCTTCGCCGCCTTTGGTTATTCGGTTATTATGTTGGCTCTCTCTGCTTCTATCCACATCTTTCCATTCCCCATGCCGGATTCCCATGCGCAAGCAAAATACAGTGGAACTGCTGGAACAGCAAAACTTAAAGATTCCAAATCTTCACGATATATTTTTATATATAAGAGCTATTGTTTTATTTGTTTTTCAGCCCGAATATACCGGAAATAAAAACATCTTTGTTCTGGGTTACTGGAAATATCACATACAAATTTAGATTGAAAATAAAATATGATTTATTTTTATATGCAACACCTTTTTAAACTAATTAAAATACATTATTATTAGGTAACTTTTACAATGTCTTCAATTTCCCTCTCACTACCCAATTTGGCGGAAAGTATGCTATATTTTTGCAAATTGCAAATCCTTCAAGCTTAGTAAAGAAGAAATTTAACGGATTAAATATATTTAAATAGGTTTAGGGTACACTTTCTTTAATTAAAAGCGAATTTCAAGCTTTTACAGCTATTATTTTAAACCTAACCTATATTCTCCTTCCATTTTTAGCACTTTATAATGCTTCTGTTCGTCGAAATCCCGTTCCACTGTGCCTGAATATCCTCCGTCGGCGTTGGCAATCGCCGTTCTTATTTCCCACCGACAGTCCTCGACGAACAACAGAATTGAAAACGACACAGCCCACGCAAAGCCCGCTAAAAGAAACAAAACAGGAAAAAAAACAACTCACGAAAAACCTTAGCGACAAAAACAAAGTTCAGTGTCTCGGCAGCCGTTTATCCTCAAAGTTGGCCCATAAGCGAAGGCGAAAACAGGAAAGCGAAAAGGATTTCAGGCAGGGGATTTGCATACAGACTTCTCAATCATAAATAAGCGACAAAAATGAGGCATCTCTGGCTGCTGCTCCTTATCGCCGGCGGATCTGTCCAGTTTCCAGGTAAAAAATCGACTGCATCTCACATCTTTTGCCGCTCAGAGAGTTCCATAAAAAAACGTTTCAAGCAACAAATTAATTTACATTCAATTCGTAATCTTTATATGCTGTGGATTTTTGTTACGGAAACATATGCGGGCTCTCTAAAAAAGGGCACCTCTTGATGAGGGGCTCAAGATGCGCCACAATGAAATACTTGTAAATATCTTGTTTGTTTGCTGCCTCCTATATTACACACTCATGGCAGCTAATTTGCATAATCTGGAGATTATAATCCTGGGCGAAAACCTAGTGTAGTGCACTTGTGTTCGTGTCCTACGAACATATACGAGTTGTTGCAGGCGCTCAGGCAATCGATGGTTGGATTACATTGCACTTGCCCCTCCTCCCCGCTCTCCTTGGCTTTTCCGCTTTTCCGCTGACCCAATAATGGCAGCTTATGTTAAACCATTAAAGTATCAAATATATCGGATTGCCTCATCACTTTATTAATCCACAACTTTGGCACTTTTGCAAAAAGTAGCTTGTATAAATAAATTATTAACATTGAATCATTGTGGCAATTCTGAATGAATTAATAAGAATCCTCAATGATCATCGTCATCAAATTAACTGATTCATGAATATCATAAAAAAACTTGAAATTCCAAATTAAATTTGCATATCTAAGAGTTATTCCAAAAGTTAGTCATCTAATGACATTTTTTACGACTCTTTGGAATAAGACATATCCCCCAAGGAAGTAGGTTTAATTAAATAGATTGCAGTAAATTTTATTACAAATATTATTCACAAATAAATATTGCAAAAATTAACTAGGAGCTAATCAAAGAAATATACTTAAAAGAAAAGGTTAGAAAAATGTAATATATATCATAAAAATTTAAATTTCGCACTTAAAACATATTTAATAAATCAAGTACCCGCATTGATTCATCACTGAAATCAATCAATGGTTAAGTATTCACCAGAGGTTGCATTTTCGCCATTCCCTTTCCATCATTGGAACCGGCTCCAAACTCCATAAAGCACTTGTCTGCCACCCAAAACTATCAAAGAAAAAGTGCTTCAAAGGGTCGCCAGTTTTATGGCGAAGTTTTCCTTAAACGCTGCCCGGGGTGTTATTAGCGGGAAGAGGAGGGGGTGGTGGAGATGGAAATGGGCAGAGCGCGTGGGCTGGAAGATGGGAGGGAAGTGGTGTCTGGAAGAACGTGTGTCATTCATGGAATTGACGACAATTTGGTAACCACTTGTAAGCAGGGCTTGTCTTCCCTAAACCATGAGTATGCACCGACAGAAAATACTGGGAAAGCTTATTATCATTAGTTTAATCTTTTATCTGGAAAATAATAATGGTTTATTTAGGTATTCAGGTATTTAAGTAGCTGATCGGTGCAGTATAATAAATGTTATTTAATAAAAATAAATACATAGATGCAAAGATTAAAATTAAAGGGAAAGGTAATGCATTTGTAAATTGCTTTGCTCTTTGAATTATATTTAAATAGAATTTATATACTGCAACAATAATACTGAAACTAAAACATTAAAAAGGTATTATATCAAAAGGTCGAACATTCTTATTAATTTTTCTGAGTGGACTGGCATTGTTCATTGCTTACAAATAGAGAAATTAGAGGAACAGTAAATGAAAAAAGGATGGAAGGGGCAGTGAATGAATGGGGTTGGGATGATCACATTGTTAAAAATATCAACTTGATTAAAGTGGCTCTTGAATAATTAAGCAACTGGGAGCGGGCCTGGGGAGCTGTTGTAGCTGGAACCGTCCGAATGGAGGAGACTATGGCGAGGTAATTGCCGCATCATGCGTGCGTTCCAGGGTTATTTCAGCGGCTTATCGATATTAATTATAATACTGAGAGGACAATGGAAGCGTGGGATTTCATGATGATGTTGATGGTGACAGTGATGGGGTTGGGCATATGAGTTGACAAATGACCCTTAAATGGTTGGGCTTTAACTTTCTATAAACATATACACAATGAACTTGAATCTAAAATAGAGAACAATACCTTAGGATGAAATTTATACCAGTCTTTCCGAGCTTTTATATCACCATTTAAATATAAAAAGAGGATTTTTGATTTTCTTAAATATGTATCTATATAGGTTTTATGATATATTAACACTAATTACAATGAAGCTTTTATTTTACGTACAAAAATAAATAAATACAAAATAGAAGCTACAGGAAATACTATTTTTAATAAATAAACCAAATAAACCCCTCTAAGGCTAATTAAAATCCTATCATAAGCTGCCACCTTTTCTAGGATCTAACCTTTAGTAATAAGCAATAATATTTAATCATTTAAATGATTTACTTAATTTTTAACTTCAAATATTTATCCCTCATAAGTGCAATCTTAATTTCTACTTAATTTCTGTGGCATACTTTCGGGCTGGACACCCTACAGAGCCACCGTTAATAAACTGAACTTGATCTATAAGAGTTTTATGAGTCAAGAAGATTAAATCATCCCTCCACTTACCGCCTGACCCGAATTTCGCTTTCTGGGCAAACACAAGACATCGACGGCGACGACGAGTAACTACGCCAAGGCTAAGAAAGGTGTCCCGACATGTCTGCCAATGTCTCCTCATTTTTCCTAACGAGAGTGCAAACAAAACTAATAACTTTGGCCCAAGCACAAATATATATATACACACACACACACACACACACCCACAGCAAAAAGTACGACACCCATAAACATACGAATTATATATGGCAAATTGGCAATTTTCGCAGCCATTAAGCAATGCGCTAAACGTGCAAATGACGCAACCGAATGTACAACATCCTTGGGCCAAATACAAAACCAAATTCAAATCCAGATACATACATACCTAGATATAGACCCCCCATCCAACCCCTGCCTGCATATGCTGAATAGTATTCCCGAAAAGAATGCCATTCCGTGACCTGACCTCCAACCGGAGTTGTACCCATCATATCACTCCAGAATGGGCGTTGACACGCTCCCTGGGAAAATGAAATAGGGGCTTGGCCTGGCCCCTGTTATTCCATATTCTCTCGTTAATGGTTTTATGCTGCCTTCTCCTTTTGGGGGGCCTTTGGGGCTTAGGCTTCGAAACTATCGCCAGACACGGAAATCTGGGAAGGCGATGGCACCTTCTAGAGTGCTTTTCAATGCATAATACATTGTGTATTCGTGTGGGTTTTTATGTATCCGTTGGCTAATTACAATTTATTCCAGGTGTGCTGACCTTGCCGGAGGCACTCCCAGCCAAATCTTCATCAAACACTGGAGGCGGGAGCGGAGGAGGAGTCACTGCCCAAGCAGCTGGTGAGGCTAGCCCGGATTACAGTGAATACGAAGATGATGATACGCAGCGAGCACCGGGAAATCTAGCCAAATCCACGGCCGGTCCCAAAATACCAGATCCTTACTTTGAACAGAAGGAGGTGACCATCTATGTGACTGCCAATGCCACAAGTGTGAAGTTGGAATGTCCTGTAAAGAATTACGATGGTAAGTTCTAAACATAAAAATCGTATCTTATAAAATTTTAACTTTACTCTTTTTACCTTTTTCGAAAGCCGCCCACCATGTCATACTCTGGTACAAGGACGATGTTGTCGTCACCACCGGAAAGACCATAGTGAATAATATATATGGCCTGGACAACCAGTTCACCCTGACCGTGCCCCTGAACGGCTCCAATGGCACGGATCAGCAATTTTCGTGCAGTGCCAATGCCTCGTCGGATATAAGGCACAAGGTGACCATCCGTTTTGGTCCAGAGCCAAGCACCCCGGCTCCATCTACAGTGCCGGCAGCGACTGTGTCACCCTCATCCGCCAACGATTTGGCTCCCATAGGCAGAGACATTGGCCTCTGGCTACTGGCCCTGATCTTGGCTCCGCTCCAACTGTCAGTATCCTCCACCCTTTTCTGAAGCGGGCCAAGTTCAAGAGGCCTCTAAAAACCAGCACCACCGGCATTACGTTTGGGGATGCGCACTGCAACAGATGAGCTTGACGAGGGATGCAACCATGGAAAGGAGATGATGATGGCTTTTGGCGTATTAAGTTAGGTGTTGCTTTGTTAATGTAATATATATATATTATATATTTAGGAAACCCCCGATCTTTGCAGGGGAAGCAAACTTCCTAGAGCTATAGAGATTATTTGAATTCTACTTCCAAACCCTGTTTCCTCTACTTCCAAACTCGATAGCCATGTTTATAGACTCCGTTTGAAGAGTAACTTGTACTTTGAATTTAGTAACGCTATACGAATTAGCCTAGTGTGATTGCTTTAGTCGTGCGCTTAATGAATCGACACAGATTAGTAATTAATTGATTTTAACTTAGCGGAACAAAATGCGATAACAAGTGGCTTAAAGAATCATTGTGAGGGATACACTTACCATATATACATATAATATATATGAACGGATTTGAGCAGTGTATGTAATTTTGTCGGATGTAAAACTGAAACAGAAATAAACTAGAGCTGCTATAGACCCAGCTGAGAAACCATTCAATGAAATCCACCCCTATATGCAGGCGTCGGGGCAGAGGCCAGGATTCCATGGCGCATGGGGAAAAACACACGCGCGAGAGGGACAACAGAGCGCTGTGTCCTTTTGTATCCTGCAGCTGCAGCGTCGCAGGCGGAGGTGGAGGCGGAGAAGGAGGAATTCCGCAATATGTGCAGGGCCTGCCAGCCATATGGTGGCTCCTAAGGGTGGTGGAATGGTGGTGGCGGTGGCACAAGCCCCGTGCGAGAACTTCCCTCAGTCGTCGGCTAAACAGCGATCAGGACACACACATCTAGTCAGCGGAAGAAATCAGTGCCAGCATAGCCAAGGTGAGCTGGAATTAATATATATTTCTGATCAGGAATATTATAATAATATGTTTAATATTACTTTCTCTCCTTCCTTAGATGATACCGCAAAGTGAGGGTCCCGCTTTAATCGAAGATTCATACGCTGGGGAACCCCAGTTCTCCTCAGCAGACTCGTCCTGTGGCCAGAGCAGCTGTGGCAAAGCCCAGACAGCCTTGGAGGTCTACCAAAGAATACTTCAGCGCCTTGAACAGCAAGAAGACACCACAAAATCCCGTCAAAATGATTTGAAGAGACAAATTTGGATTGCTAGCTTCACGGGAGGAACCATACAATATCATTGTTAAAGATCTCAATACGCTTATTAATAATAAGTTTAACTAATTAAATATACATTGCAATTATTACACTTTTATTTTATTTTCAATTAAAAAAACTTAAAAGAAACAAATATAAGCATCTTAATTCCTTGCCAAGTAAGCTATGGATTTCTGTTCTCGTTGTCAACTAAGGTTCAACCTGGCAGAATATCATTTGAAATTCAGCTTCTCTCAAAAACAGTTCACATTCAAAAATCTCTCGTAAATATTTTACAATATTTTCTAGAAACTTTTTGTAACAAACAAATTTTAAAGTGCGAAATTTTGTTTCTAAAAATATGGAGAATGTGGTAAGTGTCACCACAAAAGAATGCTTTCGGTTCGAAATAAAAAGAGAAGCTAAAGAGAAACCTGATCATTTAAAATTTATAGAATAAAACAGTTTGCTTACCTTTTCGCATTTGATCAGTGCTTTTCCTTAGCTTTTTTCGAAAACAAAAGTTGTAAGCGCTTCCATTAATAGATTTTTAACACCGATAAACAGATTATAAACCAGGATATGGCCTGCCGAAAGCCAAAAAAGAAGCCAGCTTGCGGCAGAGTGAAATGCAGCAAGCCAGGACCGATTACAAACAATGGGTATTTGAATTTCATACGTTCATTCCGCAGAAAGAACTGTGGCCTTATGCCGAGAGAGCTGGTCTCGAAGGCAGCCAAGGCCTGGAATTGCCTTCCGGAAAAAACTAAAGATAAATACCGCCGCCAGGTAAGTTCTCGCTTTCCCAAGAAAGATTTGTTTTTTTCAACTAATATTTTTTCCCCATTTCTGCACAGGCTTGCCAAGTTTCAAATAAACCTAAACGCAAGGCACGCTCAGGTTGCCGCAAGCCTAAAGCTAAGAAATGTCGAAAATAATGTTAGAGCACAATGGTAAATATTTCATTTTCAAGATATAGTTACAGTGACTACTCGCTAAATATTTTTTTTTTTTGAATGAAAGTAAACTTTTCCTTTACAGGCTCTACAAGATGCTGACAAAAGCCCTGGAATCAAATCAAGCCGCTCTTTTACAAGCATCGACTTCCTGGGATACTGTTTGGATTTCATAAAAATTGTCACGTTTATCTAGTGTATTTTGATAAAGCACTCTAGTTTTGGGAATTCATGTCTTTATTTATGGAGGGTAGGTGGTAAATAAAGTTGGATCAATCAGCAGGCTATATGATCTAGCCACATCCATGCTAGAAAAAGTACAACGTTAGATCGCGATATGCTTCCCAATCGCTACAAATGCATCTAAAGATCCCCAAGGCGGTATCAATACTCTTATCCACAGCTGAAAAATATGCTAGAACCACTATAATCCATAGGAAAAAACAGAATAGCAGTATTTTTTTTTTCACATTTATTAACAAATCATTGTTAGTAATATTAAACAAAAAAAAACATTACTTACCCACCTGTTAGTTCTAGTAAATAAAAATTGAGTAAAAAAAATATATATATATATAATTTAAAATAGCCGTAGCTTTAATAATTTATTGTATTTTCTTTATTTCTTGTTTATAAATTCATAATGGTTTATTAACATAGTTTTAAAACGCATTAATGTTTTTCATATCCAAAAATGGACTCTTGATCTGGGAGTTATTCAGTTTGAATTGAACAATTTGATAATTCCATACCGGTATTTATTTATTTCACAAAGATATCTTGCTTCTACTGCTAGTGACATGAGTAAATTAAGTATGGGCTGGATGGGTTTATTCAATTGAACCGATTATAATTGGTTCTGCTTCGACAGTGATTATTTAATTCTTTTATTTCATCAAGAATCGTGGATAATTGAGAACTCATATAATCAATCAATCAGTATTTGTAGAATATATTGGACTTATGATCTGATGGCGTTGACGCCAACAGTTTAGATTTGTTTATGAAAATTGTAAATTAAGGATTAATGTTATCTTCTTTCGATTTTATGGCGTGTGAACGCATCTTACATTATTCATTCATAGAATTATTTTAAAATTAACGCTTCTTGTTAACGTTTCTTCTTGACTGGCCAAGAGTCTTTTATCGATTTATTATGTGTGTTCATATTGTTCTCAGCAGGGCTTCTTTTATAATCATAAACATCGTCCTTAGTTATCATTTATAGCTGTGTGCGGTGAAATCAACCGGAGCCGCGGTCGGTGCAGCACGGTATTATTGTTTATATTTTTTGAGAATGGAATACGGATTGGGCTTATAGGACTTGATGGGCGGTTCGCGCATACGTTTCATGTCAGTCGGATATGGTCGTTTATATGCCGCTGCGTTTGTTGATATTATTGATGGACGTGCTATAAAATTTGTTCATTATTATTTTTAGTTAGTTATAAGCGTGTTTTAAAAAAGTTTATCGATCATTAGAATAAAGATATTTTTATTTATATTAAAATTAATCGTTCTAGTATATTATATTATTTGCATTGAGAAGCATTTCTCGTTCATTCATTGGTTTTGTGTTGCTACAATCTATCCCAAAGAAACCCACTTAACGTGCACCCCCTTAAATTAATGGAGTGAATGCAATGGAAGTGGAAAGTGGAGATCTTATTTAATAGATCCCCAAGTTCTAAGGTTGAAACATATATAAAAGGAGTATAAAATCATAATGGGGGAGACTTACGTTTGCTGTACTCATAGCCAGTGGGTGCGCGCTTGGCGGCCATACGGTGCTCGTATTCGTAGGCCACCTCCTCCGCCTCGTCAACTCTATAAACAACAACGATTTCAGTGAATATGTAAAGGAAAGTTGGCTATAAGGGTTAAGACTCTTTTCAGACGCGTCAACTCTTTGGTCATTTTATCCCGGTGGGTGCCAGTAAATTATACAAAATTATACTTTACAAGTAACTTACTCAGGCGGATTTTCCGCAGCTCTCTTAATCAAATTGATGAACTTGGGGGCTCCGTTGCTACTGCCACCAAACTTTTTATCAAATACGGATCTGTAAATATAAATTATATACATTAGAATAGTTATGTCTATGTTACCTCTTTAGTTAATCCGCTGAATACCATAAAATAGATAATTTTATTTTTAAATTCAATAATGATGGTTATTAAGGACTGGTAACTCAAAAATCAAAGTTTATCGAATGATAAACCATAATAAAATCAACTAACAAGTGTTATAAGCAACAAAACTTTATGATTCCAGAAAATCAAGGCTGGAAAATGGTTTTACAGAGGGCTAGCGCGACTCGTTCTTACCTATAAGCCTCTAGGTTGGGTCCATGAATGTTCTTGGCCGACTCAGGATCCATTTCCATCAACTCGCGCAGCTGCTCGTGCGACACCTCATCGTTCTTGTCTGGAATTAGATACTTACGGATCTCGGCAAGAGCATAGGCAATGCGAGCATAGCACTCGGCCGGGGTGGCCACAGTGCTGACCTCCAGGAAGAGGTCCTTTTGCAAATGGGCATACCGCGGGTCGCCACAGTTGCGCAGCTGTTCCTCCTTGGCTCGATCACGGATCGAGGTGCGCCCCTTGATGGCGATTTTGCACTGGGTCTCATCCTGCAGGCGACGCAGGGAGTTTCCCTTGGGTCCCAGAATCTTGCCAGTGAAGTTGAACTGCCGCAACATATCGAAACTAATGTAAATTTAAGGGTACCTCGGATACGCCGTATGAAATTACCTTCGGATACTGCTTGACAGGCACAAAGACCTTCTGGGTTATCTTCATGGGCTTCTGCTTGTAGACGTCGGCATAGAATTCTTTGCCCGGAATGCGGCCAGTGCAGTAAACACGGTCCACAGCTGCAGCAAAACGAAGAATATCATTTTACTCACATTCTTATTAGATTCCTCGCATGAAAATTTACCTTCATCGATTAGCAACGCGCATAACGGGAATTCGGCGGACAGACGCTGGCGCTCCTCGTCCAGATCCGCCAAGAACTTCTGGGCCACCTCGTTAAGACGCGGTTGATGCTCATGAACAATTGGTTTTTCTGTAAACTCGGGAGTTTCTTCCATTTTAATAGCGTATTTTTTCTTTAATCTCACGAAAGACTGAAAATTGTATGTATAGTAGTGACCAAGTTGACAGTAGGGCTACCGTACACATTCACTTCCAGGGATGGAAAACTACACGCCAACTATAGTTGGATTTATTTTCATTTCGAAACAATTTCAAATAGTTCTTTAACTTCTTACTACAAAGAAAAATATTTTAAGTAAATCTCACAAAATTTGGAAAATATAAAAGTGCACAAATTAACAGTTGCCAAACGTATTTAACTCCAGGGCTGTAAAAATACACGCATACGATATTTGATTATAAATATTTGGACACACTTTAACTTATTATAATATAGGTTTTAATATAGGAAAATATATTTTGGTTTTAGCAAAAATTGCCTTTTATCTCAAATGTTTTTTTTTTCGAAAAAACTATCGGTATACCGAAAGTAAAAGCTAAATAATCAAGTAATCATATTATGTTATACATTAAAAATTATTTTCTGTTATTTTTATGTTTATTCTGAAATTTAACATAGTCCTTACTAACAAAAAAGGTTAAATTTAATTAAATAAAAAATCGTACGATTATTAGAAACAATTCCTACTTGCCTTATATATTGCATTTTGCATTGCGCGGAAACTATCGGTAAGATAAACTTGATTTCAAATAATCATAGAATTATTACTATATGTCATATACACATACTATATTTTACAATTTATTGAACATATTTTAATTTAATTCAAATCTTGACTTTAAAAAATGTAAATCTTTACTTGGTTAATTTTTGATAAAAATATGTCAGCTTGTCATCAGTAAAAAAATCCTATTTCTTTATTTTGTTTTGTGCAATTAAAAAAATGGCTAAGCTAAATTCTCATTGCCCATAGTTTATAAGCAAAAACTATCATAAATAAAAATATATGTATATGATATCAAGTGCCTATCGACAAACTGCCATCACTGAAACGTTAGTACCGATATTTTTCCCGGTTTTCGGTTGCACATCACAATGGAAAATATAATGGAGCCAATATTTACAGTTAAGTTGGCAAATGTATTCTGTTTCAGGGATGGAAAACCACACACATACGATATTTAGTTATTAAAATTTGGATACAATTTTAATTATTCCTTAATTTTTTTTAGAGGAACAAAAAAATGTCTGTTGGTTTCAGCAAAAATTTCCATGCATCTCATATTTTAATTTATATATATATATTTTATATATCGGTATACCAAACGTAAAAGCCAAATAATCAAGTAAATATAAAATGTTATACATTACACTAATATTTTCTGTTTTTCTTTTTTGTATATAATGCAATTTAACATAGTTTTTACCAAGTTTCAATAAATAAAAAAGCCTACGATTATTTGGAATCATTCCTACTTGTCTTATATGTTGCTTTCTGCATTGCGCAGAAACTATCGGTTAGCCAAACTTGATTTAAAAAATCATTAAATTAATACCTTATACCATATACCCATAGTTTATTTTACCATTAGTTAAATATATATACAATTAATTCACATCTTTAGTTTAGAAAAGTTAAATGTTTACGTGGCTAAGTTAGTTTACGTTGTTTGGTTAATAAAAATTCCCATTACTTTATTATTATTTAAAAAAAAAAAAAAAAAATCACTAAGCTAATTCTCATTGCTCATATTTTAGAAGCATAAATTATTAAAAATAATAATAGTTAAGAAACCAAGAGCCTATCGGCAAACTAAATGAAGATACCATCACTGAATGACCAGTACCGATATTTTTCGCGGTTGCACATCACAACGGAAATTTTAATGGTGCCCAAATTAACAGTAAAGTAGCCGAACGTATTCCAGGGATGGAAAACTATGCGATATTTCGATATATATATCGCTAATCTAAATTCTCATTGCTCATATTTTACATGCAAAAAAATAATTTTTTTTTTAATATATATAAGACCAAAAGCCTACCGGCAAACTAAATGAAGCTGTCATCACTGAAACATTAGTACCGATATTTTTCGCGGTTTCTGTTGCACATCTCTAAAGCGAGGAATTTGTTATTATAATTTTTTCGCAATAAAGAATGGCCAGTGAAGATCTCTTCGAGCATGAATTCTCCGAAGAACAAGAATTGGAGCTCGAGCAGGTCATGGAGACCGAGGCAGTGGATCAAGGGGAAACCAATGAGCCAACAGAAATATTAGAGGAGTCGGAGGAGAATTCCCCAAAGGAAACTGCCACCGAAAATGCTGCAGACAAGCCGGGTGAGTTAAAATTGCCATCAAATATTGTACATATAAATCTTAATTGTTGATCTCGGGCAGCTACCAATGGAGAGAAACCAAGTCCTGATCATGAGGCCAAGATGACACAACTGCCCTTGGCTCGCATACGAAACATAATGAAGTTGGATCCGGATATGCAAGTTGCCACCAATGAGGCTGTGTTTGCAGTTACCAAAGCTGTGGAACTTTTCGTTGCCTCATTAGCAAGAGAATCCTATACGTACACCGTCCAGTCCAAGAAGAAAACTATTCAAAAGCGGGACGTGGATATGGCCATATCGGCTGTGGACAGCCTGATGTTCCTAGATGGAGCCATGAACTTTTGAACCATCTGTTTACCCTTAAAATAAGCTACATATATCTATGTATGTTTAAATCCCCCCAGGTAAAACACGATTATTTCATAATTGTTTTTATTTGGGGATACTTTAGCTGGAAACATATTCTCTTGTATTCAGCCTAATGTTTCAAAATTAAAAATAATATTTAAGTTGACTCTCATAAAAACCAACAAATTAAAAGGAAATTATAATCGTAAGCGATAACGTTGAACGTTTCACAATACTCTTATTCGTGGGAATTGTAACGAAGCCGGAAATTTGTTTAATTTGTAGTTGAACTGCTGCTGATACGTGTTTGCAATACTTACTTTGTCGTCGATGGGCATATATCTGTGATTTCTTTATGTTTTATTGTTGGTTTTATATCCATAATCTTATGAAACAATATTTCCAAAGCTTAGACTAACATTACGCATTGATTAATTAATTGTTTTGGGGATTTTCGTTTGTGTTTTTTGTTCTCTTTTGTATTCGTTTTAGCTAGCATTAATTTGTTTTTGAAGGTTTTGTTTGTTTTTCTTTCTTTTTTTATACAATGATTTCGAGGATATAGTTTGTTGTATTGATTATTATTTCATTTAAACACAATTTAAATATTTGGATAACAATTGCAATAGAAAATTAGGTTTGCATTTGATTTTTGTTTTATTTTTTAGATAGTATATTTAATAGGTGTGCATAGGTTGGATTTGTTGACTTTAAACATTTTTCGATAATTTGTTTTGAATATAGTTTAATTCTTTATGCTTAACTTTGATTAGTTATGGTTGTTGTTGTAGTTGTTGTTGTTGTTGGGGTTGGAGTTGGGGGTTTCTTGGGATATTGGTAAATCGATGGGTTAACGTATTTTCGGATATGGAGCCGAGCGATAACGCACGCTTTCACGAGATCGGGATCCAGTTTCGTAGTGAGCAGATGAATGTGATCCCGAGCCCGAGGTGGTTGGTCGATATGACGATGATGAACGACCGTTGCTTGGTTTTGCTATTTTAAAAAGAATTTTATTTGTTGTTTAGACTTTAAAATTGTTTTTGTCTCTGGTGCTTTTTTATTGTTTTGTAATTATTATTATTATTATTATATATTTTATTTTTTGTTTTCTGTTGCTTAGCATATGTAATATATACATTGTGAAAAAAGAAAAGAAATTGTTTAACCGGTTTTGAATGCACTACACCCTACGAAAAGTTTTGCTCTATTTGTTTTCACGTTTCAAATGTTAAAAAAAAAGATTTCACAAACTTTTCATTAATTTGTGTTGTCTAAAAATTGATTTATCACAGTTTAGATTTTAATTGTACGAATATTGATTGGGGTTTCTTTCTTGGATGAAGTTTAATGAATTGGTTTTGGCAAAGGTGTGAGTTTAAATTAATTTGCTTTTGTCGATTTAGTTTTTGCTCTTGCTTCTTGCTTGTGCGCTTGTTAGTAGTCGTCCAATTAATGAAGATGATTTAAGATCTGTGGCTGTTCGGTTTAGTTTTAGTTGATCTCGCCTCTGTTCAGGCATAGTGCATTTAAAATCTCGTGAAAGTGGGATGGGTTTGCCGTCCGTTTATCATAATTTTGGTACGCGGTTCCATGGCGGTTTCTATTTTTAGGCATTTTCAATTTCGTCGCTTAGTTGGATATAGAAATATTTTATTTTTTGGATTTGCGTTTAATTTTTTTTCTTGTTTCGCGCGAGTTGAGTTTAAACGATTTATTTGCTATTTTTCTTTTCTTTGTTTGTTATTTCTTTTTACATTCCTGCTGAGGGGAAGAGATTAATTTATGTAAAACACCGGATATCTTACCTGAATAGGCCGCTGCATAGGAAGAGGAGGACGAGTGGGGATGATACTCACGCCGGTAGTCGCGCTCATAGGAGCTGCTGTCGTACTGGGCGTGGTGGCTCGAGTGCTTCGATGATTGTGGCGGCGGTGTGGCATAGCGATCGTATTCCCCATGATGATCGTACAGCTCGTGGTCCCGGGATCTACTGGAATGTCATAAGATATTTTAAAGTGAAAATGTTCTCTCTAAAACTGAACCTTTGTTTGCCCTGGCAGAGAAATTGTTAATGAACTAAGACAATATATGTGCAGGGATTTGGAAGCTTTACGATTAAAAATGGAAGTATTATGAAGTATGCAAGGGATTTAAATGAAATCTTTATATCAACTTAATGTCTTCTGCAAGGGCATCTTAAAGGATATAACTTATCCAACCTGTGCGTCTTAACGATGCCATAGTTGGGATCGTCCATCACATATCGTGCCTTCTCCAGAATAGAATATACTTTGGGCTTGGAGGAAGCAGGAGGTGGAGTGCTGTGACGAGACGAAATCCTCAATAAAAAAATAAAAAGTCTGACAAAAAATAGACGATCATACCGTGAACTGTAGGCGCCGTGTTCGCCGTAGGACTTGGAATAGTGGTGAGACTTCTTGTACATGCGCTCCTTGCCGTCCATCTCGCGCAATTGTTCCAACCGAATATCGTCATTCGCATCGGGTATCATGAACTTGCGGATCTCGCCCAGCGCATAGCTGATCCTGTGATAGGCCTCTGCGGGCGGAGCTACCGTGGATATCTCCACATGTAGGTCGCGACTGAGATGCGCGTACTTCGGATTGCCGGAGCTGCGCAGCTCCTCCTCCTTCCCGTGGTCGCGCATTGAGTTGCGACCCATCACCACCATTTTGCACATCGTCTCTTCCTGCAGCTGGCGCAGTGTATTGCCCTTGGGGCCCAGAATCTTGCCCACGAAATTGAACTTGGGGTACTCTTTGATGGGAAACAGCACCTTCTGTGCCACGCGAATGGGTTTTTCGCTGTACACGTTGGCATAGATCTCGGGCTTGGGTATGCGGCCGCTAACCAAGATCTTCTCCACCTCTGCGAGCGAGTAAAATCGATTAGATCCGGGATGTCTTACGTGTCCTAAAACTCACCGTCATCGAGCAGGCGCTTGGTGATTATATGTTTCTTCTCGAGAGTCTTCTTCTCCAGAAGGCACTCTTGCAGGTACGCGTTCGTCTTCTCGTTCAGTTGGGGCGTGTCACGGAGGGCGGCGTGGCTGGTGTTGTGACCGCCGCCGTCCGCATCGGGTGTCTCCGGAGCACCGGTCGCCGCTGGCTCCTCGTCCCGTCGTTTCCGCTTGTAGTCTGCGGCGTCCTCATTGTAGTCTCTGTCGTAGTCGCGCGGCATCCCTGTGTTGCGTATTGTGTCCGGATAGAAGTATAAATTTGCAGAAACGTCCCACTGTTAGAAAAAAAATTTTCTTTGCGAAGTAGCTGCTGAAAATATGTATGTGGTAGCGAGTTAGAGGTGGAAGCATCGGTGCGAACAACGATACTTTTTTCCATCGATATGTCCCACCTCTGACAATGGGATGGAACTGCGATATTTTAAAAACAAGGATTTATTTAAATTATTATTTGTTTTATTTTTTATTATTGGATTTTAAAAAATATGCAGAAATTTAAACAATAAACTTAATATTTTTTTGCAAAACAAATAGTATTTTAACGGATATCCGGAACAGTCAAAAAAAGCATTAACTTAAATTCCGAAAAATTAATCATAATTCACTATCTTAAAAATCAGTTAGTATTTATATGGCGAAATATATATATGTTTTCAATTACTTTGCTTTGTTGGCATCATATATTTAAAAAAAAAAAATGAGGAAAATATCAAATTTATGAAGTTTTATTAATAATTAAAAAGAAATTGATGTATTACAGTTTCTCTATTCTAGGAAAACGCAAAACTTTCGTTTTAAATTTTAAATTTAGTAAAAAGCGCGATCTTTCGATATATTGACTTGTAATGATGGTAATGTATAAGATTTTTGACTCATGTTATTCGGCAAGTTTTAGGTAAAGATATAAAATAAAATTTTAATCTAATCGAAATATAAATTTGTGTCGTGCGAAATGGAGGGTTATTTATATATTAAAATTACAAAATTAAACTTATACATTTTTAGAATTTCTATTTTGAAATTTAGATGGTAGTAACCTTTGAGTAAGATATACAGCAGTGTGCACCGGTAATATTGAATTTGAGATTGTCTTTGAATTCTGACCAATCTTTTGAGTGGAACTTAAAATATAAAGTTCAATTAATTAAAATTAAAATCGCTAGCCGACACCTATCGGTTCGCAGGGCTTCTGCCTGCAGCTGCCCACGATTGCGCATAACAGCACGCTGTTAAAGCACGAGAGCCATCCCAAGAGTCCAGAGTTGCCATACCGCGCCGCTAACATAGTAAAATATACGAATAAAATACACACTTGGAAAAGAGAGAAAAATTAGGGCCACTGGGAAGGCTGAAAGTCGCACACTTGGCAAGCTAAACGAATCGACTGCAAACGCGACCCCACAGTTCGCAAACGGTAAACACGCGACAGGACAAATGGCGGAAAACGGAATGCGTGTGCCAGGGTCATCCGCCGTAGTGGTGGCGGCGGCGGCGGCGGCTTCCTCGGCGCCCGGAGCTGTGGCGACGAGCAGCAGCGGCACCAGCAACGGGGAGCACGAGACCGAACACAACGCCAATGCGGATGGCGAGAGGGGCCAGCCCGCGCCGGCGGTCCAGAAGTACATGCAGGAGCTCATGACGGAGAGGTCGCGCATGGAGAACCACTTTCCTCTGGCGGTGAAGCTGATTGACGAAGGTAATTGATTCGATCCGGTGACCTGCTATCTCAAGTGCTCACGTGTTGCTCTGATCTACAGCCCTAGAGCGGGTGCAGCTGAACGGACGCATCCCCACGAGAGACCAGTACGCCGACGTCTACCAGCAGCGTACTATCAAGCTATCGCAGAAGGTGCACGTGCCCATCAAGGACAAGAAGTTCAACTATGTCGGCAAGCTGCTGGGCCCCAAGGGCAACTCGCTGCGCCGCCTCCAGGAGGAGACGCAGTGTAAGATCGTCATACTCGGCCGCTTCTCGATGAAGGACCGTGCCCGCGAGGAGGAGCTGCGCAATTCTGCAGACGCCAAATACGCCCACCTGAATCTTCCGCTGCATGTCGAGGTGTCCACCATTGCACCGCCAGCCGAAGCGTATGCTCGAGTGGCCTACGCCCTGGCTGAGATCCGGCGCTACCTCACGCCGGACAAGCACGACGATATCCGCCAGGAGCAGTACAGGGAGCTCATGGAGGACCCGGAGGCGGCCAAGAAACTAACGCTCCGTCAGCTGCAGCAGCAGTCGAATGCCGCTGCCAGCGCTGGTGGCGGCGGTGGCGTCGGAGGAGGTGGTGGCGGTAATGTTGGTGGTGGGAATGGAGGAAATGGAGGAGCGGCTGGATCCGGAGGCAACAATGGCAATGCCAACCAGCGCTCCGGCGGCAACTACAGGTGAGTTCAAGTCTTGTGTCCTCTAAAGGTTGTGGTTTAATTAATTCCTCCGATTCTTCGGCAGACAAAAGTTTCAGCAACAATCGCACTATCGCCACAACGAGGAGACTGTCTACTTTCGCTCACACAACAACGCCTACCACCAGCCAAAACCCTATGTGCCAGGTGAGTATGCAGGGGGAGTCTCTTTCCACAAAGGTTCTGCATAGATTACAATTGCATTTCGCTTTTCTCATAGCCGCCCAGCGGGGCAATGCCATGCACACCACCTTGCCACCGCAGGCCATTGTGCGGGCCTCGCCACCCGGAATGGTTGTCAGTGCGGCCAGTTTTAATGGACGGAATGCCGGGATGGGCAATGCCGGCGGTGGGATCATGGCCAACAGCATTGTGGCCACAACTGGTGGTGGCATCGGCGGAGCAGTGCCGCCCAACATGCGCTACCGTCCCGCTGCCCCCTATCAGTTTGTCAAGAAATAATACAGATGGGAGGATGTACCGCCCGCTGCCGTTCGCTGTTTGTTCAACTATTCCTCACCGCCATTAATGTCACATCCGGAAGGATTCACGTTCATCCGTCACACCCACAGCAGGCCCGGCCCTAGCCCCAGCCCCGCCCGCATCCACATCCACCCACACCATACACTGCTCCAAAGGTAGATGTAGCCACTATGAGAACATTGGAAACTTGTCATGCATTGATTTCACCAGGATTTCGGCAGAGAGGAAACCGAAAACGAAACGAATGAGTAAATGTATGTTTAAGAAACTAGCCTAAGTAGACGAATGCTCTGAGGAACAGACGAACACCTCAACCTCTCAACAAGAACAACAACACCACCACCACCACTACAATTACCCAAACCACAAGACCCCCCTAGCCCACCACACACGCGCACACATGCAAGCACTCCTCAAGAATTGGGTTTGGAAAGCCGAGGCGAGGATCTGAGAACCTGGGAACTTTAGAATCTGAGTGTGTTGAGCTCTGCGAGCATTTGGAAGAAAATAGAAAGGAAAATGAGAAGAGGAAAAATCGGGGAAATCGAATTCAGGGATGGTCCCAGTCAATCCAGATGTCCTTGTTTTGTTTTATCGTATTTTATTACATTATTAACACTATTATTTTACGTTTCATTGACTTTTAATTTATATCAAAGAATATATATATCTCTTTTTATGTAAACACCCATACGTACATACGTATCCCCCGCCCGCCGCAGCAGCAGTCGCTTAATCCTTTTGCATTCTTTATCTTCCGCTTTCCCCAGTTTTAAGTTTAGTCCTTCCCATTTTTGTTTTGAATGCATTTTTCATACACATATATTATGTTTACGTTTTTTGACGAGGCTTTTTTTTATTTTTATTACGTTGTTACGTTGCCTGGACAAAGAAACAAACTACAGATGAATATTGATATAAAATATATATATAAACACAAGTATATGTAAAAGCGGTATGATTTATATTACACATAGTGCGTATATGCATATGCAACACACCCACACGATCACACACGCGTACGTACATATATTCAAGCATGAGCATATTCACTTAAAAAACAAAACAAAACCTTAAACCAAAATGAACATTAGAGACGCAAAAGAGAATCTACAAAACATACATATATCGATTTTCGATTTATAATATTAATGGACAAAGCAACATCTATAGTCCGGACAAAGAATAATAAGCAAACACATACATACATACATACATAATTGTTATTGTTGTTGAAAGCAACTAAAATTGTAATAGAAATTATGCAAATATACATACGAATATGACGACAAATGTTAATTGCAGCTTAGTTATTATTTTGTTCAACACACACAATAACACTGGAAACCAAACCTAAGATAGGCTTATGTATGGTGGAACCTAACAAGGTGGACAAGAATGCCGTCCTCAATAGAGGGCTTAAGACCACCTTGTATACTTCCATCGATAGAGCATCCTGCAGATCCCAGTGAAGATTGAGTTAGATTCTGTTGAAGAGAGATGCTTCTGAAGCATCGAAGCCACCCGACACACATACTACATCCTGTACGAAACATTATATAATTTACAGTGCATTATTATATTGCTGATTATCGTTAAATAAATTTCCAATTTGTGGATATTCGCTCCATGTTGAATAAATATACACATAAGCCGAGGCAACAGTTGAAATAACCAAAGTGAATTCGAATTTTATGATTTTCTGTTAATTTGCAATAAAAACAGTCATCTGTTCTGTGTTTAACAAATCATCATTTAACTTTATTGGCTAACAAATACAGGATACAGGACACACTACAGGGCCCTCACCAGTTGCATCAGGGAGTAGGGGTTCTTGTTGCTCATGAATTTGAGCTGCTCCTCGAAGCCCTGGGGCGTCTTGTTGATCCAATGCCTATCGAGATAGTAGTTAATATAGCTGTGAAACTCCTTGTCCGTGTAGTTATCCACATGGACCGGCACGAAGGGATCCAGATGCTCGAATCCAGCCTGACCGAGCAGATAGCGTGGCATATAGGAGTCCATGTATCCCTCGGTCATGGCGATCTTGTCCACGGACAGGATGCACACTCCGTTCGTCCAGTCGTAGTTGGTGATATCCAAGAAGGGCTTGGTAAGCGTTATCCTATCCGGGGTAACGCGCTGCTTGTTGTCCGAGAAAATGCGGGTAATCGGATGGAAGAAGGCATTGAATCCGTCGATGGCCACCATCACCTTGCACTGTCCGGCAGTAGAGAGCTGTTTGAGCTCAGAGATAAGGGCCGCTGTCGTCTCCGAGGCGTACTTAATCCTTGCTATTCCATGCTCCACCAGCTCGATGAGAGAAGAGCCCGCCGGCGTGCTCTCGCGTTTGCTCCACACGTACTCTTTGCCGGTCTTTAACTGTAGTCGTTGCAGCAGCTGGCCGTTCTGGTTCTTGAAGTGCACCAGCCAGGCGGCAGCGTCAAAGGGTAGATCAATCATACCCTCCTGACCGGCGGCGTTAGACGCCTCCTTCGGCCTCTTCATCCAGTTCGGAGCCCAGGGCACGTGCACCAGGAGGAAGTCGTTGATAGCTCCGTAGTGCAGCACATGAGCCATGGTCAGTGTTTTTCCGGTTCCATTTTCGCCGTACAACACATACCGCACCACAGGCTTTGTTAGGTCTGCGTTTTTGATGTACTCCAGCATCTCCAGGGCAGGATTCCGGACCATCAGACAGGCCTCGGTGAAGGTCTTGATCTGCAGCTCGTATTGCTTGGGCAGTCCGCCGCCGGTGAAGATCTGTTTCTTCTGCTCCGCGGGAATTGTGTAGAACTTGGCCAACTGCAGGGCCGAATGTTCGCCGGGATTGGCCACAGCGCTGCGAAACTCGTTTATGGTTGCGCCCTCAGCAGGAGCGACCGCCGCACTCGTAGACATCTGCTGGACATGTCGCTGCAGCTGGACGGAGACGCGCGACAGGTTCCCAAAGCGGTTTCGGATCATTTTCATTGAGAAATTCTCAAATTGTTGTTAAATAAGACCTAAAACCTGCAGACCGAGCACATATGGTGCCTATCGGGTATCGAATAGTATCGATTGCAGACCAGGGATGGAGAATCATTTCTTATTATCTTATTATTTGTTATTTTAATATATAAAATAATAAATAACATTTTTGTTATGTTTTTCAATGTGAGTTATAATAAATTTAATTATAAGGCACTTTCCCATCGATTCCGATTAAAATATCGATAGCTGCCTGTTGCTATGACTAAGTTGCATCCCTGAAGGCAGCCCGGCAAAACTGCGTCCTGAAACAGTTGTGAAATAGTGAAGTTAACTTGGACTAGAACGCCAAAATGTCATCTTTTGATAAGTTGTCCATCCAAGGAGTGCGCAGCTTTGGCTCCAATGCCGAGGATCTACAGGTGAGATAAATAACAGTTTTAAGCTCGACTACAAAACCCTTTGTGCGCCTCACAGAGCATTACATTTTCATCGCCGGTGACCTTGATTCTGGGCGAGAATGGGTGTGGAAAGACAACCGTAATCGAGTGCCTGAAGTACGCCTTAACTGGCGAGTGTCCACCGGGAAGCGATCGCGGAAGGAGCTTCGTACACGACCCAAAAATCTTTGGGCTAAGCGAGTCCTTGGCGCAGATCAAGATGCAGGTTCGCGACAAACGTGGTGCCCAGGTGTCCATCTGCCGGACAATGAAGGTGTCTAACAAGCGCGGCAAGGCGACCTTCGAGACGCTGGACTCTACCATCAACTTCCTGACCGGCGCCGGGCAATCGAAGCGCGACAATCAGGACTCCTTAAGCGGTCGCACAGCGGACATAGATCTGGCCATCTCGGATTTTATGGGTGTATCCAAAGCCATCATAAACAATGTCCTGCTGTGCCATCAAGAGGACTCCAGTTGGCCTCTGGACGAGGCCAAGAAGTTAAAGGAGAAGTTTGATGCCATATTTGGCATCACGGAGTACAATAAAGCCCTGGATAAGATCATCAAAATGCGCAAGGAAGCCATGGACGAGCTGAAAGTTATGGGTGAGTCAGAATTATGCCAATTTAAAACGAAACTGCATTAACCAGATTCCTCCGCAGAGGCTAACATGAAGCATGTGGCGTATCTGAAGCAAGAAATGGAGATACGAACGCTGGCCCTGCAGAAAGCCCAGCAAAAGTGCGACTCAATCAAGGCGCAGTGCAGCGAATGCGAGGAGGAAATGAAGCCCATCGAGGCCAGACTACTTGAGATCCGGAACATTGAGTTTGAAATTGGCAAATATCAAGCGCAGAAGGTGGAAATGGAAACAAAGTGCGTATTAAAATCTTTTTTTCTGCCTTTTTGACCAACTCCTAACATAATTGCAGGCATAAAAACTGCAAAGAGCAGATCTCCACTCTAACCAGGAAAATCAAGACTCCATTTATTGGCTCCATGGCTGAGCTGGACGTTAAGATTAACAATTTCGATCAGCGTATGAGAGAAATGCGGGACCAGCGTACCGAGACAGAGCAAGAACTCTCAGAGCTAAAGAAATCCTGTGCCAACGGACAGGAAAAGCTGGGCATGCACGACAAGAAGCGATGCCTGGCTAAGCAGCGGCACCAGAGCGAGCAGGCTTGCCGGGCACAGTTGCTAAAACGGGTTAAGGAATTTTGTCGCGAACTGCAGATCCCAATAGATGGTGAGCTCACGGAACAGCCCGAAAAACTGTTGGATGTCCTACAAGATATCGAGGCGGTTATTATGAGCAAGCACTGCGAGATCACCGAGATCGGTGAGCGGAACGACAAGGCCGATAAGGACAGGCAGGCCAAGATCGATGAGCTGCGTATTGATCTGACCAAGTCAGAGCAGGGCGTGACAGATAAAGAGAATCAGCGTGAGGTCAACAAACGTGAGAGCGAAAAACTCGAGGTGGATATCCAAAAAATAGAAGCTTCAATGCACGAGTTAAAAAAGCTGGAGAAGAAAATAGCCGAAGCCAATGAACTTTACGAGAACACGATCAAAAATGTGGACCAGCAAGCCATGCGAGGGGCCATTGACGACAAGAAGACCAGCATTGCCGAGAAGCAGGCGCAGTTTGAGAAACTAGACAAGCAACTCACCTTCCTGGGATCCATGGCTAAACTGGTGGCCGAGATATCTCTGAAGCAGAAGGATCTTGAAAAGAAAAATCAGGAAGTCCATCGAGTACGCAGTCGGCATGCGGACAACTTTGGCAAGTTCTTCAAGGATCCAATATCAAGCAACTATCGCAGGTCAATGCAGGGAGCCTACGACAAGCTGCGTCGTGAGATCCAGGATCTTAACGAGCAGGCCAACGCGCAGAAGCTCAAAGAGCAGTCCTATGAGATTAAGCGGAAGAATCTAATCGACGACATAGCGCGTATGGAAAAGGAGCTAAAGGAGAGCGAGGAGCTGGTCTTCCAGAAGTGTCGCTCAACTCCGTACGATGATCTAGTGGAGCGCAGCAAAACGGCAATTTCCAAGCTGCAATTCGACCATGGAGCCCTTAAGTCCGCCGAGGCCTTGTACAAGAAGTGAGTTTTAGGAATGATTGGGATCCCTAAACTGTTACTAAATTATGTATTTTTTCAGGTACATACAGAAAATCGAAGAGGAGCCTAGCTGCCCTTTGTGCCATCATAACATGTCTGGCGATGAGGCGTGCGACCTTACCACAGAGCTTACCGATGAGATCCAAAAGCTGCCGGAAAACATCGTTAGAGCTGAGAAAGCCTTAAAAGCTGAGCAATTAAAATACGATAACTTGCTGCAGATTAAACCGAATATTTTGAAGATAAAAGATTTGAAGGCATTGTTGCCTCAGAAGAAAGAAGAACTGAAGAAGGTCGAAGAACTTCTGGGCGAGAGCGTTAGTGAATATGAGACGTTGTTAGCGCTGATTGGAGAGCCCACTCACAACATGGAGTTGGCCAATTCCATGATGGGTGATATGACGTTGCTTGATGAGGCCTTGAAGGACTCGATGCGCCTCACAAAGGATCTAGATCTGCAGAAAGTAAGTAATATTACAGTATTAATAATGGACATTTATTTTAATGTTTCGTTTAATTAAAGGCCAAATTGCCTGCTTCTTATGACGCCAGCGTGTCGATGGATACATTGCAAGCGGAAAAGAGTCAAGTTTCAAAGGACCTAGAAACAGAGCGCAAGGACTTGGAAATCACACAAAATACATTCCAGCAGCACATGGATGCCTTAAATCGTTTGCGTGAAATGAAAAATAGGTAACTGGATATATAAAAACTCAAAAAGTGGTATTAGTGGTAACCCTGACTCTTGCCAGCCTAAAGGATAGGCAAATACTTTTGCAGGAAGGTGTGCAGAGTCTGCCGCAGCTTAAGGAACGCCTTGAGAAGCTCACCAATTTCCTTATCACCGTGGCTACGGAAATAAGTGACCTTAGGGCAAAAATTCTGCCCCTCAAACAGAACCTGAGAGCGGCTGTCGAGGAAAAAGATCGTTTGAAGGAGAAAGAGCGAGCTCAGCTAGCTCAGATGAATTCTAAATATAATTCCTACAAAAGCACAGATCAGGATATTCAAAGGTAGGTAGTAGTATCATTATTAACCAGAATTGACCGAATCCTCTTTTAAGATTGAATAAAGAAGCTCAGGAACATGCCAAGTTAGACTTGGAAAATGAGATCCAAAAACTCGAAGACACCATTAAGGCTACCAAAGATGAGTTGAAAAATCTGGCAAGTATCAGGAGCATCCTTTATTAAACAATCTATAATTTACTGTAATTATTACCAGGAATCCCAAATCCATTTGAAGACCGATCAACTGGAAACCATTAAGACCGAATGTCTCAATCAGCAGACGGCTGAACGAGATCTTAAGGATAATCGGGAGTTAAAGCAGCTGCAGGAAAAGGAATCACAGCTAAGCGAGAGCTGCCAATCCCTCAACAAGCAGTTGGGCAACTTGGATTTCCACAGTGTTAGCAAGGAAAAAGTGGAACTAACCAAACGAAGGGACACGGCTACAGTGCGTAAGGGAGAGCTATTGGGCCAGCTGGGTGAGATCAACAGCCAGGTGGGCAAGCTACAGCGAGAGATTGACGAGCCCAGGTTCAAGGAGTCGCTTAAGAATTATCGCAAGGCCAACTTCGAACTGCTGGTCACAAAACGCAGCATCGAGGACCTGGGCCAACATCGCTTGGCCTTGGAGTGGGCTCTCATCCAGTTCCACGCGGAGAAAATGGAGAAAATCAATCGCCTTATACGTGAGTACTGGCGGATGATATACCGCGGCAACGACATCGACTACATACAGGTGAAGACGGAGGATGGCAACACAGATGCGTCGGCGGATCGGCGCAAGACCTACAACTACCGAGTGGTCCAGTCGAAGAACAATGCCGAAATCGAGATGAGGGGACGCTGCAGTGCTGGTCAGCGCGTCCTGGCCTCCCTCATTATTCGCATGGCTCTGGCAGAGACGTTCAGCAGTAATTGCGGGGTGTTGGCGTTGGATGAGCCCACCACGAACTTGGATCGCATTAATATCACATCGCTGTGCGATGCCCTTAACTGTATTGTGGAGGAGCGTCAGAGTCAGTCGAATTTTATGCTCATTATCATCACGCACGACGAGAACTTCATCTCGTCGCTGGGCAAGATCACTAACTACCATCGGGTCTTCCGCAACGATGACTGCAAATCGGTCATAAGGAAGGTGCAGGTCGGTTGATCAAAGGAAATACAATAACAATAAAATGTACCCACTTCGTTATTTATCTAAAATCGATGTATGTTTGCTTATCTTGTCATCATAATAATTTGGAAATTGAGTGTCATTCATTTAATAATAGTTTGTCTCCCCTCATTGCCAAGAGAATGTGGCTGCTAACTTTTCTTCTGTCCGCGTTTGTAGTAGTTCATGGCTACTCCATGCAGTTTGGCAGGATGCACTCCCTGTCTGTTCCCATTTACGAAGCTGAAGTTAAATTGAATCACTCAGAGGGTTATTTAGACGTGGCGTATAATCAAAAGGTAATAAAAGTACATTGCTATAATAAGTATTAAAGCTTTTATATTTATTTCTAAGCCGTCTGCATTGAGTTTTATTATAAACATGATTTTGGTCCTAGATGAAAGCGATTTGGAACGGAAAGGCCGTGCAATTATTTTGTCTGGCGGAATAGGAGGCAACTTTACAACCCTGAGACTAATGTACTCTCAGTCCAAAGGAGGGAAGGTCACTGTGCTCATATACGGGTTACCTCGAGATCTATCTAACCTAGATCTTAAAACGATATAGTCTTACTTATCCTTAGCAAGGGACCTCCAATGGTACCCATCGTCTGGCAGATCGCTGCGAATCAGCGGAGATATCCACGCAATGTGCATGCGGTTGCCAAAAACAGTCCGTAAATTCCGCCTTACTCCTCGATCGAATTTGTGTTTGCTCTCTTCGGTGCGATCCGCTGACACGCCACCCCGTAGAACGATGGGCACATGGTAGCCCAACAGAAGTACGCCATAAGCCAGAGCAAGGATATTTAAGCTATAGAAAAGCAGGTACATGTTACTCCACAGGTTGCCAGTTACCAGGAGCAGCATAGGGCAGGTCAGCTTGAGCAACGTCAGCCAGTTGCAGTAGATGTGACCCTGGATGATCCACATGTAAATGGAATTGTAGACCAAAGCGTACACGGAACCCACAAAGAGGTAGAAGATGAAGCCCATGAAGAAGCGATGGTTCCGCAGGCCGATACAGCAGCCGGTGTACAGGCAGTGGTGATCTCTCTTCAGCACACAGACCTTACAGATCTTACAGTGCCAAGATCTGGGGGGAACTAACCGAGGAGGTTTGCAGTCGGTGCACTCTCGCCAATCCAAAGCATCTGCTGGGGGTTCTACCTTTTTGACTGGAAAATTAAATTATAACTGGGGGAACTATAATCCGATTAAACTATAGCTTACCATCCACACTAGTGTCGATCATCATGCAGGCAATCATGTTTCCCTTGATATTAAACACCAGAAACATGGCCATCAGGAAGGTGAAAGTGTGAAAGAAGCCTCCTGGCTCATGGAAAGCTGGGAGCACCACCACAATTTCGAACATGAAGACCACCGGCAGAAAGACCCCGATGAGCAGGAAACACAAGACATCCACCAGCCGCCGGGGCAGCGGATTGCTGCGGATTCTCATGATTCCCTGAGATACAAAGAAATGTAAACAAATGGAAACTGATCGCAGAGCAGCTGATGGGAGAACTGGCTAGCTCCAGCCAGCCGGTTTGGCAGTGTCGTCACGTGCGTGTAAGCTTTATTTTATCAAGCTTTTTTGGGGCCAAAGCTGATGATAGCCGCCGGCCTCCCGCCAGTGAAAAGCTCCAGTGTTAAAGTGTTTGCGGCGAAAAGTTTACGATGCACTAACGTACGCTCATCTCCCCCCTCTCCCATTAAATTGATTTTGCCGCTCGCTCGAGTTCAATATAATTTGATAAACTCTAAAGTTAAGCGTATTAAAGTTTGATATCGAACGCGTGGAAGCGTAAAACTGTGGCAATGCACTTATCTCATCACAGGTACCACATGGCGTATGCTTGATGGCCTGTGACGTGCATACAGTCCACATAAGATATTTATTTATGTATAGATGTTTAATGCCTGCGGCAATGGGCAACATTGAGAATTTAATTAACTTGAAAGGATTCACTACGACACAAATCACAGTAATCAAGGTAAAATCCTTAATTACATGGCTCTTTAGCGACGACAGCAGATTGATGACACTTTCAAGTATTTATGGCGGAGTCAAGTGGCATTAAGTAAACAGTTTGAAAATGGAAATGTCGGTGGTGTCCAGGCGGGAAAGCCAGGGATCCTCGGGATCCTGGGTATTTCTGTTCAAGTGTTTTGCCAAAAGTCTGCGGCAGTTTCTTAACGAGACCGGTTTGCATGGCCTGAAATTTGTGGGAGATCCTAATCTCAGCAGTTGGGAGAGGTGCGATTCTGCTTTCTATATCTAATAAAAGGGTCAAACTAGACAAGGATTAATATTTACCTTTCAGATTTTTCTTCTTTGGCTCTTTTGTCACAGCCCTTGTCATAACCATCCATCTCATTTCAAACATCTATGTCAAGTGGGACAGCACTCCGGTGATAATTGGCATCAGTCCCCATGCCACCTCCATATTAAAGGTTCCCTTTCCGGCCATCACCATCTGCAACATGAATCAAGTGCAAAAGAGCCGGGTGTCTAATTACACCGAGTGAGTGCGTGCGTGTGTGTCTTTTCCTTTATTGAGTGAAAAATTAATTATTTAAATATCTATGATAAGGGACTCCAGCGAGAGTGCTCTTTTGAAGCTACTGTGCGACTCGGATAACTTGGATGAGGAACTGCGCAACGCCCACCTGGCCGGGAACACCTTGAAGATATCCGACTTTGTGGCTGATCACTCACAGATATGTGAGAGAATGCTGCTCTTCTGCAGGTTCAGTGCCATTGAGAGGAACTGCTCGCATCTGTTCCAGCAGGTCCTCACGGATGAGGGTCTGTGTTGCGTCTTTAACTTTCAGGCACCTGAATTTCTATACAAGCCTTTGTGAGTTGTTATTTATTAGTATAGTAATTTTATGTATAATTTGTTATTTAGCTCCAATAGTGGAAGAAATCTGACAACCGAAAGTGGCTTCGAGAGTGTCAAATGGGATCCGGAGATGGGTTATCCGGAGAAATTGCCTCCCAAATATTATCCTGCCACATCAAGTGGTGGGTTATATCTTTAAGATTGTAAATATAAAATAACAAACCCTATTTAAATGTAGGAACAGGCATTACTTTGGGCTTTACTGCTGTTCTGGATGCTGAAATGAGCGAGTATTTTTGCTCTTCGACTAATGGACCGGGCTTTAAGGTAAAATTACAATGATTATGATTGAAATTTGATTTTACATTTTCTAGGTCTTCTTCCACAATCCCGTGGAGGTTCCTGCTGTTCGGGAAGCGGGCCTAATTACAGCCATTGGATATGAAACCAATTACCGCATCGAGATGGTTCGTTCCGAGGCAGTTCCCGCCATTCGTTCGATATCCCGCGATGGTAGGCAGTGCCTGTTCCAAAACGAGAAGGAGCTAATCTTCTACAGCATCTACACACGTCTCAACTGTGAGAACGAGTGTCTGGCTGCTTATCTTTACGACAACTGTGCCTGCATTCCATATGATTATCCGCAAATCTATAGCAATGCCACCACCTGCACCATGGGGGACACCCTTTGTGTGCGACGGGCCCAAAGGGCAGCCCTTCGGCCGGGAGAGGTCACGTGCCGGAGTCAATGTCTGCCCAGCTGCTTCGATCTGAACTATTTGGCCAGCGGCTTTGCCTTTCCGCTGGCCACCAGCGATTTTCAACTGGCCAACGGTCTGGTGGAGGCCATCAACAAGTCGTATCTCAGCGAGAATATAGCGGTGATCAATGTGTATTTTCGGGAATCTGTTTACTATGGCAATATGAAGAATGCCTATGTGGGTTTGACGGAGTTTCTGTGTAAGTAAATTGCTTTATTTATTTAATAATTTATAATAATTTACTAAGAGTGCCCTTATTTTCCAGCTAATGTCGGTGGTGTTATGGGTCTCTTCATGGGTTTCAGTGTCATCTCATTGGCTGAGATTTTATACTTTTTAATACTCAAACCCCTCTCAGAGCTGTTTGTTTGGAAAAGGTCCCCTCAAGTGGATCCCGATAAAAGCCTTAAACATAATGCATTTGGCATAGAACAACCTGATACCTTGGATAATCCAACTTTCTGGCATCCACAGGAACTGTACCCCAAGGGAGTTACATTGAAAACCACCGAAAGGGTCAAAGGGATGAAAAGAAATAAAAATATAACAAATGCCTTTGTTCAGTGAGAAATTATTTATATGTAATCTCATAGTAGGGATACATATGTAATCTGCCATGTCATGCATCTCATTGGCTGACACTAATAAAATAAAAACGTAAAACATTATGACTGGAAGCAAGTTTATGGTTTTCCCTATCATTTGTTCAGAAAAGCCACAGAAAAAAACTGAATAATTGATTTAAACATGAAGTGAATGCAATGCACATTTAAATAATGCATTTGCTATAAAAATAATTTTGTGCGGTGGGCATAGAAATATATTTCAAGCTCTGTAAATGGTATTTAATTCAATCACTTTTAGGACTATTAAAAAGTGTAATTTAAGCTTCTTGTATGTACTTAAATAGGCTAACCGAGCATTGGTAATATCTCGATTAAATATCGGAGAAAGGTAAACTTTTCGACTCTGTTAAATGGTCTTAAAGTGCAAACTTTGATTTAGTATGCTATGCTATGCTATGCATACTCAAATGTACAAATATGTATATTGTATACGCACTCCTTTGCTTCCCCATTAGGTTACTTCCCTGATGGAGAGATGGAACTACCAAGCGGCTGGAGCAGATGTGCTCGAGCGAGGGTAGAAGGCCTTCGGTAATAGAATACTCCAGCCGCCTAATGCAATTAGCAAAGTTTCCTGGTTAAAGGGCGGCCGTTGAGGTCCGTCGACTTACTTTTGTGTATGGGTACTCTGCCTATTTATGCGATATATTTTATGTCAATAAGAGCATTTTGGGCCAAAATTACTTTTCGCCAAGGCAGCAGTTGCCCTGCTTAACTATGTACTACCATCACTACTATGTAGTATGTATTTTCCGCTCCCACATTGTATGTATTTCGGTAGTAAAGCAAGAATGGCACTTGGGGGGACCCACCAAACCACCGAACCACCACCACCACCTCCATCTTGGCCGCGTTGAAGATGGCACATTTCTGTGCCGCCTTGCACTTCTGGCGGAAATTCCTTTGCTTGGAACACGCTCCGCCTTCTCAGCGTTAATTGCTGACCTCAACCTGCACATAAAGCGACTAATTTTCGCATAGCACCGCGCTGTGGTCCTGCATAACTGCATGAATTGTGCGGCACAGTTTCCTCGACAGCATCCTGCGTGGTAGGTCCTGCTGCTGGATAGGATTTCTTCTTAAACCGCCCGAAGGCTGAGAAAATGAACGAAATGAAATGCATTCGCATTCGCATTCGCACAGTTGAAGACAATTTGCAAAATTGCATCGCTCTTGATGTTTCCACGTGCATTCCATCTGTTTTCCGCCCTCGTGTTTTTACGGCAAGTCAACAATACGCTGCTGGTCCGGCACAGTGCGTCCCATAGCCGTAGGAATTCACCTAAATATTTCTATGAAAAGCCAGGTAAAAATGGTAGAGAGAAATTCAAATTCAAATTCCGTTGGCTTCCGGCGTGCAATTGAATTTCAAGGCGGCTATCAAATAAAAGTTTGTTTGCCTTCTGAACTCTTGTTTATCTATGTCAGCTTTAGAGATTATCTTTTCCCCACATTTATTTGCTTATAAAACGTCCAAAAATTTCGGAATGCACTGTAAAGGGGCGGCAGAGTTCAGGACTTTTTTCAAGGGGATTGTGCCATCTAAAAGCGAGTACAAAAAGCTTTCCTCTCGACCATCTTTCAGGCGATAAGACAACTGGTGCAAATGATTACGACGTGTTCCCTGGGCCACCGTATATCTATATATGGAGGGGATGGAGGAGGGTGATGTGCCACAGAGATGTAACAGGACACAACCCTAGCTGGGAGCTTCGTAAATGTCAAGAACAGAACTAGATTCAATTCTTTATGGCCGTGTTAACGAGCCAATTCTCCCCTGGATGCTGGCGTAAAGCAAACCGCAACGAGAAACTTTGGCACTGAATGAAAAATTATGCCATTAAAATGGATGAAACTGAACCACAAATAATCCTTAAAGCCTTGCCGCTGTCAACTGGGTTAGTTTCTGGGTCGAACTAAGAGGAGATAGTGCCCTCTGCACACGAGTAATTAACAGCAAATTTTCTGCCAAAGTTATCAACTTGACAATAAAGTTTTCCTCCCCACCAAGGTCTACCTCTATCTCTATCTCTAGCTCGCTCCTCGAGGCGCAGCCCACCTGATTAAGGTATAAATATTTGATTCTAGTGTGGGACCCCAAGAAGGGTGCGACAGCTCCATGGCTTTGGCATTGTCAACTTTATGGGCTTCCTGTCGCACCCGACTCAGTTATGCATGGAAGTGTATTCATCAAAATGTAGTCTCGCAAATGTCTGCGTAAATGCTGCACGTGGGCGGTGGCATATGGAAAGGGTGGAAAGGGTTCGGATGAGGATGAATCGGATGCAAGCTGGAGGAGAGAAGCAATTCGATCGAATGCCAAGGAAGCTCTACACAGCCCCCCCTGGGTAAGAAGTTGCATGCGGAAAAGCAATTAAAACTTCTTGTCAGTGTCTCGGAAGTGTTTGTTCATATTTTATGATGTTTTTCGTGTGGAAAGCTGGATTATGAATGTGTCACCAAGAAGTGTTGTCGCTGCTTCATCTTTCTGTCTCCCCATCTCTCGTTGCTTCATCGCATGCAACAAGCGACGTCGTCGTCATTGAGGTTGCAAAAGTAATGTATAAAATATCACACATCCGCCCCATTGGACGGAGCAAGCCAGTCCGAAGGCCAAACTATGGCAAAAATTTAAAATGCTCAAACTTCATAGGTAAACACACACACAACACATCGGGGAGAGAGTGTAAACAAAACTTTAAGCCCAGCCTGCCTGACCTTTATTTTCGTCAGTATTTGATTGAATTATTAATAGAATGTTTGATTGGGAATGGAAAATGGCATTCAAAGGAGTCTTTTTCTCCCCCTTCTATATACAGTCCTTAAGTGCATCGATATTTTCTCGAAGCATTTTGACGTCTGCCACTTAGAAAGCCATACACACACAGCTTGGCTATAATATTTGGCTAATGGAACCCGCCAGCGATTGCCGTGTTGCAGCCATAATGGCAATCACCTATGGGTGTGGTGTGCATACCCATATCACACATACGCCACCTCGTCCTTCCACTCATATTTGACACGGTGGCCCACAAGAATAGCTTCCCTGGATGCCGCCAGCTAAATTCGGTGCTAAAACTCGTCACAAATATGCAAATTTCGGGCGCCCACTCCAGCAGCAGCAGCAGCAGCAGCAGCACCTGCCTAATGCACCAAAATGCATTTGAAATTGGGTAATTTTACACATGCAACGCCGCAGGCGACATTGTCGGGCGGGGAGGCGGTTAGGGTAGGAGCTTAAAAATGTATTTTGGCTTTTGGATTGGACAGATAGAATTCACAGCAACAAATGTACAGACAAACATATACATACATACGTACGTACATATCTTTTGGGGGACGCAGACGAAGTGGTGAATGTTTGAGTGGGGCCACCGCCAGGCTGAATAATCAGGACCATCAATCAGGACTCCGAGCCCTGCACACCTCATTAGGCTAATCGTACAATTGCGCACGGCCGGACACACGCAAAAAACATGGGTCTCCGTCCCCGGACTGCCTCGGGATGGGATGGGGGTGGTGCAGGAAAGCATCCTGGGCTGGGGGGGTGGTGGGAATCTGGTCTGGTTTAACCGCACCGCAATTTGCCCTTATGCGCTAAACAATATTTCATTTTTAAGAGTTGACTTTTCACGCTCGCCGACAGGCGGCTTAACATTTTAAATCCATTGTGGCGCCACCGCAAGGACTTTTCGACTTTGCCTGCTATTTTATTAATGTGCAACTGCGACGCCGCCTTTGTGAATCCTTAATCAGCGGCCGGGGCTTTAGCCTGCATATATCTATACTTTGTAATTATATTCAAAAAATATGGCGAGTGAGTTTTTGGCCCAAAAACATTGAAATCACTTCCTGAAAACAGTCAGGCAGGCTGGTAGGCAGTGGACCAGAGCGCTTTTTCCCATTCAAGTGCTTTGTTTTGAATCCGATTTGTTCCCAGTATTTTCTCCAGCTGCGGCATCAGTACGCAGAATCCTTGAAAAGGGGGACAGCATCCACAGTTGGGTTGACTTTTAGCTTCAGTCCTCCACAGATGGTCGAGGTTGTTAGTCAAGCTGCGGCCCCTTTTTGTGGTGGAGCCCGAAACCAAAAAATAACGAAAATATGTAAAAAATTGCATTAAGTTTCCTAATATTAGGGTTTCCAGCTAACAAAGCAACTTTATTGATGCATTTTTCGAACATTCATGGCACAAATGTCACTCATACGCACTGTAGGCCATTGTTAGCAGATAGGTTTTAATTTACTGCCACAATTGGTTTTAATTGATCTATGAATTTGCATTCAAAAAGCATTTTTTTGGGCTTAATGTCTAGTCAGCATACAGTGAGAGAAATACTAGTGTACTTGTGCAAATAAAAAGAAATCATTAATCTGGTAACTGAACAATTTATGAATTATTTGTATTTATTTTATTGCAAAATTTTACTTTAGAAAGATTAACAAGTTTTCTATGATTAATTTATTTGTTTATTGCTTACTTAAATAATAAATTAATTTATTGATTGTGTATCTGTATTTGTTCCTAAGTTTGATATATTTAAATCGATATATATGTACGTGATAAATCGAACTGATTTCCATCCCAAAATCCACCATAGCTTGTTCAGTTAGCAATTCTTTCTAATTGGTGTACGTTTTCCTAGAAATGCTTTTATATTTGTTTTTAGCTTTATTTTCAAATATTTAAAACAATGTTTTATCAAACTTAGGAAACCTTTTGAATAACTAAAGAGATAAATGAGATATTGTTCAATATTCAATATTGGTCAATAAAACTTTTCCAACTTTTTCTTTTAATACATATTCCACCTTAGTAATTAAGCTAAAACTCGTATTTTTTTAGACTGCATTTAATGTTAAATAAAAACGTAAATGGCCTATGGTATACAAATAAAACTCATTGGCCTGTCAAATGCGTGCGACAGCGAACAAATTGAT